AATGTGTCGTAACCCTCCACAACCCGACACGGCCAATCAGCAAAAAAGTGTCACGTTGACAAAAGAGAAATAGTTCACTGCTTTAGCCCACCGGTGTGTTGAAGCGTGAAATCACAACATTTACAATTTTTGAGTCGTACGACGTTTCGCTGGTAATTGCATCCAACATCATCGGGCAATTCGCCGGAATGGTGAGGCTCTGGTCTGGCTCCCGGTCTTAAATAGCGTTGGTGTACGGTGTTTTTTCTGCAATATTTTTGCTGTCTTTTCTTGGATTTTCTGTTTGCACTTAGCCACATATTCACTTTAAGATGTTTTTTGTTCATGTTTTTTGTTTTTTGTTTGTTGCGGTTGCACCCGATTCAAGAGCTGAATGGCTCACAGGGCTATACCTAATAAATGAACTTGAACTTGAAATAGAGCAGCAGCAGGGTGACGTCATCATTAACTCATCAACTCATCGACGTTTTGATTGAAAAGGTGCCGTGTGTTAGTGGGCGGTTTGCGTGACAATTCTGGGGTCTACTGTTCAAACGTGATAACCCACGTGGACACATTACGTTTTAAATAACCCACGCGAGCTTCGTTGGTACGCTTTACAATCCACGATTAAAAATTGTTGTGTTGTTATTGGAACCTCTCCCTACGGATGGCTGCACAACGTATAATAAATATAATTCTCACCCGTTTCACGCGCTTAATTTGCTAACATTGACGTGCTTTGACATTTGAACCCGGAGTTGACACCAACAGATGCACTACAATGAGATTGTGTGGGTTGCCAAGTGTATCCAGGCATAATAACCCTTCCATTCTTACAGACAATTAATTCCACTGCTCTAGAAGAGATTTCGTGTTTGCCAATTCCAATAACAAAGACAAAGATCCCCCCCCTCCCCCACCATAGCCTGAACAAACTTTTGGGACAGGTGCTGTCAGCGAGCACCTATGAAGGCCGGCATGGCACGGGGTGGGAGTTTGAGAGTTGTGATGGTGGCTTGCGGGGGCGACAGGAGAAAATAGGGTGGGGGAATAGGCGCTATCAAATGTGTTGTGGTTCAACTAAAAAAGAGGAAAGCATGGTCAACTAATAAATAAAAATAAATATTGCACGTTTGCGTGCAATTATGTAATAAATACTGTACATGAAATACAACATTGAATAAAGCAACGTGAAAATGGGAAAAAAAATCTGTTTTAAATGTTTAGTTACCTTGTGGTCCAGACGCTGGCTTGCCTGATCCTAATCGGGCGTTTCACGCGGGAGGCCTCTACTCATGACATCTCGCTGAGGATCGCTCCGCCGAACAAAATTATCCCCCAGTTCGCTTCGTGAGTACAATCGAACGCTCGCAAGTCGGATGGCCGAAAGATAACGACACCTTCACGTGCGGATGTCCGTAAGTCGAACGGTCGTTACTCGGGGGGGGTGGGGGGATGGGGGCTGCCTTTAAATATGAAAGTGTGACGAGTTATCATTGTGACTCGCCTGAGCTGACGGACTTTGACGAGGTCCGCTAAGATTGCACTCGCAGGCGTGGTGATGGCACGCGGTCGTGCGAAGCACCACGGGAGGGAGGACCTATCCGACGGAGGATTTTTATATTCGATTTTAACAAAAAATATTTCACCATTGGAACCTCATTTGCCAGTAAAAATATGATAATTGGTTTTTTACCCTTTTATCTGGCAACAAAACTGACACCTTTTTACAAGGAGTCATGTTTGCATAGACCACAATACCTGCAGTCATAATGCAAACAAAAAACACAACTCTGATAATGTGCACTGTCCTTGAAGTTGATTGGTCCACACCCGAGACAGCTTTCCTTAGAGCCTAGTCTCACATGGGTTGGACCAGATGACGCCAAAACTGCAGGTATTGTGGTCTATGCAAACATGACTCCTTGTAAAAAGGTGTCAGTTTTGTTGCCAGATAGAAGGGTTAAAAACCAATTATCAAAAAAATATTTCCCCTGGAAAATCTCACGAGGTGGAGATATCGCGTTTTGAATGGGCTTCCAGCTCGCACCGCTCAGTGTCGATGAATCACCTCTTACTCGTGTGATTTTTCGTCATCGAATGTGTGGCGGGGGACTTAATCCAGCAGTGGATGAACGAAGGGCTCTTACCGCGTTGTTATTATTAATATGACTACCGCATTCGTATATATTTTTTAAAACGCTGATGTCAATGATATCAGCTGCGTATCTCACGTCGGAACATTGATGGTGGTTGTTGTGAAAGAGCACCGACGCAGCCCTCGGTGCATTTGACGGGCACTTGACGGTTCGTCGTCCGATCTTTTCGGCGTCGGCGAAAACGAAAGAAGCGCTCCTCTCGCTCGCTGTAGCATTTCTCGTCGCGGCGTCAGACGTTTCCTGGACGTTTTGGGTCCGACGGCAACGGGCGAATGCTGCGGCGCATCGAACACAAAGTAAACTCTCGGTGGGGGAGGGAGGGGGGGCTCTGTTCTCTATTTGCTACCCAGCGTGGCGCTCCCCAACACGCCTTGATTGTAAAACCAAACCCAAACAAAACAAACACTCAACATATTCTTAGGTTTTTTCGGTAAAGTCACGTAGGTGAAAAATGTAAATTGATACAGCTATCGTGCTGTGACGGTTCCACCTGAAGACGGAAGCTTGTGTTGCCTCCGAAACGTCGTGATTTTTATTTTCTTTTTTCTTTTTATTTTACTTTTATTAATTAAAAATTTTCACCTACGTGACTTTACCGAAAAAACCTAAGAATATGAATCCTTGCAGTCACGAAAGCTTCAAATCTAGAATTAAACACTCAACACGTTCATTCGTAGCGCTGTGTGTGTGTGTGGGGGGGGGGTCCTTAAAATAAAAAAATATATATATACAGTCCGGTCTCATGTTTATTATCAACAAGCACGACATTTATGTAATGCTGACACGGATCGATTTAGGAGGCAGGAACTTTATTTACGACGCATCTTCGAGACGCGACTCCGAACGCGTTTGAACGCGAGTCGCGTCTGGTTTCAGACGTTGCTTTGGGACGTGGCGCTTTTGTAATTGTCGATCGTTTTCGTGGACTTTTTTTAGCACCGATTGAACCCTCCCTGTTAAACACGGCCGGTAAAGGAGAGAGAAAAAGAAACACAGCGCGGCACGCGATGTGTTTCCTACTCTTTCGGTAAAGTCGCGTAGGTAGAAAAATTAAATGAAATAAGAAATAATATCTTACGACGTTTCGATCGCAACACAAGCGGTCGTCCTCAGGCGGAAACAATAATCCAGCAGTGGAGCAGTGGACCGCTTGTGTTGCGATCGAAACGTCGTGATGTATTTTTATTTTATTTTATTTTTCTACCTACGTGACTTTACCGAAAGAACCAAGGAGTATGGATCCCTGCAGTCACGAAAGCTACAAATCAAGATTGTTTCCTACTCTTTCTGCTTTCCGTGCCAAAATTGTACGACGATCCGACTCGTGACGATGGGGTGTCCAGGAACGACACGTCGCGCCGTAAGAATTCGGGGACCCGCCCGTATACGGGGCGACGTTTCGGGCGATGGTCCTACTCCGTTGCACATAGACACGACGCTCCTCGCTTTGCCACAGGCCTGTGCGTGGAAGTGAAGGGCGCGGACACCCTCTGACCTATGCTTTCTCAAGCGATAGCGCAGGCGACAAGTGGTGTTAAAGATGTAGGAAGTCCTGTGAACACAGGGGAAACCCACAAGCATCGCACTGTACAGTAAAGGGGAACCCAAGTGTGCATTGCGTGTTTTGGTGTACGCGGACGTGTGTGCACATGCCATGTGTGCAATGCGTGCGAGTGCGTGGGGGACGGCGTGGAGCGGTGGCGCAGCGGTTAGCGCAGTGCGCTCCGAGCCCGTGGACTCCGTTTCGATTTCCTGATCACGGCCAACGTCGGTGACGAGCGTCGATCAGAACCGGTCCTGTGCGCGTTGTGTACAATATCGGCAGTGGGCGATACAAAGGTGGCCGGGCATGGCGCTGGCTGAACCACGACCCCTGTGTGCGCCGTGTCAGCCTTCTGCGGTGCTGGCAAACGGCACTTGCCCCAACAACCTGTTGAGGCTATGTGGGAGATCTTTGTCTTGTTTGTGTGTGAGTGTGTGTTGTTGTGGGGAGCGGTAGTGTAGCGGTTAGCGCTACGCTGCGCTATGAACCTGGCGACCCGGGTTCAATTCCCGCTCACGGCCAACACCAGTGACGATTATCTGAACCGGTCCCGGGCCTCTCCTAGGTCGACTCAGCCTTAAATGAGTACCTGGTGCGGTGTGGGAACATTGCCACTGGGGAGACAAAGGCGGTCGGGCGTGGTGCTGCCCCCCCCCCCCCACCCCCTCGTGTACCGTTCCGGCCTTCATAGGTGCTCGCTAACAGCACTTTCCCCTACAGCCTGTTAAGGCTATACGGGGGAGCTTTGTCTTTGTTGTTGTGAATTGCGTTGCGCGCAGGCTTAGCCCCGTAGATAACACTAACAGCGTAAAGCGAAGCTCTGGGCTAGGGGCGAGGCTCAGTAGCTCAGTGGGATCACAGTGATAACGGTGTCAGTCCACCGAGCCAGCATTGCTGAGATCCTGGGTTCACGTTTACATCCGCCAATGGTCAATGCCCCGCTGCTTGAAGGTCTCCCCCATGCTATCAGCAACTCTCATGGTCCTGCAAAATGACAATTCATCTAGCCCAGGGGACTGCTTCGTGACCGTCATTTCTCAAGGATCACCAGCGTTCTCGGATTCACCCGCGGTGCATTGCTGCGGCTTTTGAAATGTTGTTGTTTTTAAACCGAGTTCGAAAAAAAATGTCTCTTCTTTGCTATTCTTGGTTTTGCCGACGCCTGATCTAGCCTCTGTGAATGTCATCATCGCTCCATCTCCGCGACGGAGGAACCTACGGGCGTGTTCCCTCCCTTTGCAGCATGTGTGTCATCGTTGTCGACAACATTTCACGTACAACAACAAAAAAATGTTGGTTTTCTTTTGACGTTTCAGCTGGCGACACCTCCCAAAGAGCAAAAGGGCGAGGACGTTTTTCGAATGACTGAAATGCGCCCAACCTCCCCGCGCGGAGCGAAGATACGCGCCATCTAGCGGTGAGGTTAAGCGCGTGGTCACCGTGGTGTCTCGCCGTGACCTGCAGGAGCAGATCTGCGGTTGTCCATCTCCTGACCTTCGTTTCCTCCAGTGGCGCAACGCGCCGCTTACTTCACTTTCCGAAAGACGTGGCCTTCGAAGACGTGACCTTCGTGAAAAACTTGACCTTCGATGTCGCTATTTGGTTATTGCCGGTCAAAGAATAGATTAAAGTAGAACCCGCCCCCTTCTCTTAACCACGGTAATTGGTTCAACGAAACCGGCCGTTGAGTGATTTGGTTGTTAAGCGAGTATAGGGAATGCACGTTAAAGGCTAAATTCGTTCCCACAGCATCAAAAGTCCTTTTCACCAAAAAGTACTTTATAACATTGAAACATTGGATATTAAAAATAAAGATACTAACAACATTAAAAGCACGTAATATTAAAATAAAGATGGTTGATCAATGCATTAATTCACATTTACTGCACCTACAACAGCCCGTCATTAATAAGGGAATGGTCGCTAAACGAACACATTGGGCTCTGTGGAGGCACTATACTACTATACACTACACTATACACTACACTATACACTACACTATACACCACTACACTATACACTACACTACTATACAGTACTACTATACACTACTACTTTACACTACACTATACACTACACTATACACTACACTAGACACTACATTATACACTACACTTTACACTATACTATACACTACTACTATACACTACTACTATACACTACACTATACACTACACTATACACCACTACTATACACTACACTTTATACCACTACACTATACACTACACTATACACCGCTACTATACACTACACTTTACACCACTACACTATACACTACACTATACACTACTATACACTACACTATACACTACTACACTATACACTACACTATACACCACTATACACTACACTTTACACCACTACACTATACACTACATCGGGTTCTATGGAGGCCCGTCGCTAAGCGATTAGTCGTTAACAGGGGTGGTCGTTACGGGGGGTTCTACTGTCGAGTAATATTTAAAAAAACACACATTTAGTCTTGCGTTGTTTTATCCAGCGTATCAGTTCACCGGCGTTAGTTGCCCCCGCCGCTAGGCCTGTGGAATGATGAGCCTGAACAGAGCTAGCACTCCCCTACGAGTAAAGACACCCGTCGCTGCCATTATGTTCAGTGCAGCAGATGTCTTCGCTGCGTGAATTCGCTTCCTCGGTGGCCTAAACCTACAACGCCTGAGCATTAGTTTGGGTCAGTCTCTATGAAAAGAAGAGTAAGCTGCATGATGGCATGGGGTGTCGTCGTCGTCATCATCACCAGCAATGATCTCTCCACTGCTGGATGAAGTCCACCCCTAGCTGTATCAACGTAACGTCTGTCGCGTTCTCTCACGTCAGGGTCCTGACCGCCCGGCCCTCGCCGCCTGCCCCGCGCCACGTTCCGCGCCCCCCCCCCCACCAACCCCACCCCCGTCCCTCCGGCCATGGCGTGCGACTCCGAGGAGGACGACGGCATCGTCGCGTGGCTGCGCATGATGCGTCTGGACCAGTACGAGGCGATCTTCACCTCGCGCGGCTACACGACGCTGCGCGACTGCAGGGGCCTCTCCAAGGAGTTCCTCGCCGACATGGGCATCTCCCTGCCGGGCCACCGCAGCCGCATCCTGATGCAGCTCAAGCGGACGTTCTCGCACGACGCCCAAGGGGTTGGTGACGGCGGTGGCGGCGGTGGTGGCGGCGGCGGCGGAGTTTTCTCCGAGCCGACGACGCCAGGCGGGGGCGGCCACCCTCCCGAGCAGGACGGAGACGCCGACGCGGCGGTCTCCGCGAGGAGCGCCGACCCGTCGCGGACGCCAGAGTACGAGAACCTGAAGCTGCCGCTGCCGCCGCCGCTGCCGGCGAAGGAGAGGGGGAGGAAGGCGGCCGCGTGCTCCGACTCGCCGCCCGCGGTGGGCCCCGAGGGCCTGCCCGGGTGCGGCGGGGCCGCCGAGGGGCGGCCGGCAGAGAGGCCGGAGCAGAAGGCGGTGCGGACAGGTGGGTGCCGCGCACGCCGCACGGTTTGAATTCTGCGATTTAGTGTTTTACAGTTTGCCGGCAAGAGGTGGATTGAGAAGCTTCCGTGGTGGCAAGGTGTTAACTACTTCGCTTGGTATACAGGAGGTCGTGGGTTTGATTCAGACCCTGATGCCTGTATATTTGGAGTTTGCGTGTCTCTCTCCCCGTGGTCACATTGATTTTTCTCCGGGGCCTCCGATTTTCCCCTCCACATTTGGAATCAACATGCATATTAGAGTATTTGATTGGTATAAATTTCAACGTTAGTTATTTCATTTGTGGCCAGGTCACTTCTGAGTTTTACCTGCTGAAATTATAATAGTTTAGTTTCCCAAATGAATGGAGTGGGTGGAGGGACAGTGGAATCCAGGAATTTCAAGGTTACTGAATAGGGCCCATCATGAAGAATAATTAAAAATCATGGGTGGAAAAAAACCGATTTTTCCAGCGGCAGGCATCGGGTTTTTTCTTTAATACAATTAAACCCGATTTCGGGGAATTAAAACCTGGTTTAATGAATACGAAACTCTGATCCAAGGCTTAGGCTGCTTCCTCGTCGGTGCTGCTATCGTACTCGGGGCCGTAGGGCACTTGGTAGTCGTAGAATGCGGCAGGCAGGTTGGTCTTGATGAACATGAGCTTCTCCACAATCGTGGGCGCCAGTGAGTTCCTTAGCTTGGAATGGATGAAGCTCATCGTTGAGAAGTTGGCGAAGTGCGATTCTGCAATTAGAACCAATTAAACTGGAGTTCTCCCAATCTCAGATGATCGGGTTTAATATAAAAAGACAATTAAACCCGATTGTAAAAAACCCGACTGTGCCACCCTTGTTAAAATCAAACGTTCAACATATCTTCCCTGGTGTGCAGTATCTTAATAACGTGGCAATTTTCTGGGTCTCCAAGGGCAGAGAGATCCTCTGTCCCATTGGAAGCCGCCACTGGTCACTGGAGTTTGACGATAACTTGACTCGTAGGCACGGCCACAGTGAGAGGTAATACTGGACGTAGTGTGCGGGATGCAGTTGACTCGGACGGACGCGGATGAAATCAATCGCCGCTTCTGCCAAGGCACGGGTGATGAACCGCGATCATTATGGGGTAAAATTTGTCGTAATGGTCACTTGTGATGAATACCATGACAGTGTTTCTTCTGTTTGTACAGTTGCTGAAAATGCATAAGCGCTTTCTGTAAATGATACATTTTTTAAGTATTCTGTTCTATTCTTGCGTACGGCAGCAACGTGTTCAGGAGCTAACTGCCAATGGTCGAGTTCTCCTACGAGAGGGCTTCAGCAGAGAGTTTGCCATTCCCCCTCCGTTGAAGGGGCACAGGCAACAGTGGTTTACTATACGGTCCAGTGACGTGCGGTGAGGTCAATGGCTGGGGAGGCATTGACTCGTGTCAGAGCCAGATTCACACACTGAGGGGGGCGTGGCCTCACGGAGGGGGCGTGTCTTCACTGAGGGGGCGTGGCCTCATTGAGGGGGCGTGTTAGACACGTCCCCCTCAGTGAGGCAGATGTGATAGCTGCCTCCCGTGGTGCTTTTGCATTGCAGTTTCATGACGAGACCAGCGAGCCTAAATATCTTTATACACACACGTGAAATAAGTTACCTGGATTATGGAAGGCGAGGACATGAAGGGGTCTACAAACATTACATTGGTGACACACTGAGATAGTAACAGGCACGCGCTTATTGCCCGCGCTCCATCCAGTTACTGAGGGGTTGCGCAATCAGAGGGGAGGCTGAGCTCGTCGCTGCCTCACCTTTCGTCTCTTCCTGTATTTGCAGCGGAGCTCCGCAAATTTGGCGATTTTGACTATAAAAATTATTGGAATTATACAGAAATCACATTTATAACACAGATCAGTGGAAAAATCATAATATTTATTTTATTTGAGTATTCTTTTTTTTTTTACTTTTCGTATAACAGCTATTTTCATTGGAGTATGACGGGTGAGGCTCTGCCTCCCCTGCCTCCCCTGACCGCACGTCGCTGATACGGATCATAGATTGGGTTGCGTGGCCACAATCGCACTCTTGTGGCTTCACTTTAATGTATCTCTATGTATCTCTACGAGTCTCTATGTATAAGTCTTCATGAGTTGATTATTTGGTCGAAAGTTTGGATTACATGGCCATAATCACACTGCTGTGGCTTGACTTTAAAAGTCAATTCATCATAATAATATTACACAGCCCTTTGCCCATCTGCTGCCACAGATGCAAAGGCTTCCACACACCATGCCGGTCATGGGGGTTGTTTGACCGTATTTCCCCACGCTGGTCAGTGTGGGTTGGTGGGACGCGGTGGGGCCCCAGAAAACTGCAGATATGGCTCGCGAATCATGATAGCCTTGGCCAGGCATTGGACTTTTCTGTTTTTAGATGATGTTGATAAAAGTATCTATGGGAGCTTTTTTTTGCCAGAATCAAAGTATGAAAAATAAGAATCGGTGTTTCCCTTTCAGCCAATAAAACATGTTTTAAGATGATAATTGTTTTTTTTTTACCCTTCTATCTGGCAACAAAACTGACACCTTTTTTTTACAAGGAGTCATGTTTGCATAGACCACAATACCTGCGGTCATGATGCAAACAAAAAACATAACTCTGATAATGTGCAATGTCCTTGAAGTTGATTCGTCCACACCCGAGACAGTTTTCCTTAGAGCCTAGTCTCACATGGGTTTTTTGTTTGCATTATGACCGCAGGTATTATGGTCTATGTTAACATGACTCCTTGTAAAAAAATGTCAGTTTTGTTGCCAGATAGAAGGGTAAAAAAACAATTATCATATTTTTTACTGCCAAATGAGGTTCCAATGATGTTTTAAGATGTTCAAACACCAAATGGATACCTTTGGAAAGGAATGAAGCTTGCAATAACCACACGTACTTGTATTAAGCATAAGTCTGTGTGCATGAACAACGCGTACTTGTATTACGCATAAGTCTGTGTGCATGAACAACAGTACTTGTATTAACCATAAGTCTGTGTGCATGAACAACACGTACTTGTATTAACCATAAGTCTGTGTGCATGAACAACACGTACTTGTATTAAGCATAAGTCTGTGTGCATGAACAACACGTACTTGTATTAACCATAAGTCTGTGTGCATGAACAACGCGTACTTGTGGTGAATGCAGACGTAATTCTTTGCAAAAGGTATCTATTTCGCGTTTGAACATCTTAACACCTATTTTCTATTTTCGAAAGTGTACAAACAAAACATACTGTTATTCTCCGTGCATTGATGAAAGTGCAGTGTGCTTTTAGTTGCAAGGACGGCATTGCAGTTATTCGGAAAACGCTGGTAGTGGAGTTTTTTTTTTGCTCCATGCAAAAAGGCTGAGTGCTTTGTACGCACTTTTTGCGTGCCGTTTGCGTAACGCGTGTTTCTTTTTCCTTCGGCCTGCACTTTTTTCTCTCTCGTGATGGGCTTTTCCCCCCTAAGTCATGTACAGATTTGGTTTTCCCTATTACGTAGAATGTGGCATTTTTTGGGGGGTTCCAGTAAAAAAAAGGCGCAGTGGTATGGAGATGATGAAACAAATGAATTATTGTTGAATGGTTTCACGGTCCCAACATGGTAAATGAAATATTTAAGTTCAGAAATACTTTGAATAAAAAATAAATGGGAAAGTGATATATAGAATAATGCATTGCACTCTCAGGCCTTCGTGGGTTGAACCAGAGCTGGATGAGCAAAATCTAATAGTACCAATTTATTTGTATGGCTAATAAGAGTCAATTATTTCATTAACCCCACTAATTTCAAGTTGTCAATCACATAATAAACCGTTATTGGCCACATAGAGAAATTTAAACCTCCGAAAGTTTTGCCACCTCAAGGTGGCACCGACAATTGAAATTCCTGGTCTGGGCTCATGGGCAAAGTGTTGCAAAGCTTTCAGTCAATAAGGGGCTTGGCTGGCAGTGGTAGATGAGCATCAAATACAACAACAAAAGACACCAAATCCATCGTGCTCTAAAAGCGCAGCGGGCACCGTGCCGGTTCAGACATCCCCCCTCGCCGCTGACTTCTAACCGACTGACGTTCACGAGTCCGTTGTCTCTCCCCACGGCAGACTCTGCGAGCCCCGACACGCCCTCCAAGCTACTTCCATGCCCGCGCAGGATGCACAGCGGCCTGCCGCGATTCAAGATCCCCGTGTGGTCGCCGGACGAAGCCGACCCCCAGCTGCCCTCCGCGGATCCGCACCCCGGCGAGCCCTGGCCTGATGCCGAGGAGGAGAAGGACGAGGAGGAGGAGGACCACCCATTGGAAATGATGGACAACGACATTTACGAGGAGTTTCAGAAGCCCGAGGAGACGCCTGCCCAGGAGACGATCAGCCCCATCCGGCACAGCAAGGCGACTCTGTCCAGGAGCAACGCCCTGCAGAGCCGGCCGCTGCCCATCCCTTGGCAGAAAATCATCAGGAGGTGCGGTCCGCGCGGCGCACGCCTCTCCTACACCGGCACTCCCACCACCACCCAACGGCCGGTGAATTGATTCCGGGTCATTCTGCTAGGGCTCAGATCTTGTTGGCCACACACTCTGCCGAGCGACGCCAGCCGCTTGGCCTCAGCCAATCCTCTTGCCCGGTTCTTCCTGCATGCACACGTCTGTATGTTGAGCTTCCTTCGCGTCGTACGTAGCCGACCGTGCTCATCGGGGGTGCGAGGGAAGGACAACAGACTAAATGCGAAAAGTTCAGCTCGGGGCTTGCGAGCGTCATCCCTGGCGTTGTAACTGGGGGCGACTGCCTCCGACTGCTGAGTCTCATCATTCACGAGCTTCCTCCGTAGAGGCCGTTCTTGACACCACTGATGCCAAGCATCAGCAAATCCACACAGTTCTAGTTCCCTCTTTACCACATTGGCCATCCTCCTGTATAGTCCACGACATGCCGAATGAAAGCCCCCCTCTGTTCAGCCAAACAGAAACTGCTTGCATATGCGGTGGATGGGCACGCGGGCACGTGACCCAGCCAAATGTAGTATCGCCTGCTGGAGGAGCTCCACTGATGGAGCTGTGTGTCCAGGCGTTTTAAGGATCTGTGAGTGTCTCGCACAATCCAGCCTGCTTAAACCCAGCATGGATTGTCTGCAGGGTTGCACACACACACACATGGAAGGAGACAAATATTCCTCGTAGCAAGTGCTCTAAGCGAACGGATTAACAGTAAATTGCTGCACTGCCATCTGGCCATCTCGCAGTCCAAGCCTCCACTCCTGGTAGTTACCCATCCAAATATTAACCAGGCTCAAACGTTGCTTAGCTTCTGAAATATAATCAGATCTCAGGCATTTAGGGTGCACTTGGTTGAAGGAAAATTTGTTGAACTTAATGGAGAAATATTCTTGGTTCTTTCGGTAAAGCCACGTAGAAGGGAAATAATAAAATAATATTAATATATTGCAGTCGAAACGTCGTGAGACTTTTTATTGTTTTATATTAATATAATTTTTTTATTTCCCTTCTACGTGACTTTACCGAAAGAACCAAGAATATGAATCCCTGCAGTCACGAAAGCTTTAAATCAAGATTTAATGGAGAAATGTTAACATTTTTGGCCAGTTATTTAAAAGCAGTTATATTTCGATTTAAAGCTTTCGTGACTGCAGGGATTCATCTTCTTGGTTCTTTCGGTAAAGTCACGTAGAAGGGAAGTAATAAAATAATAAAAATATTGTGAGAATTGTTTTATTATGTTTTATTTTTATTATTTTATTACTTCCCTTCTACGTGACTTTACCGAAAGAACCAAGAAGCAGTTATATTTTCACATGTTAATTTAACGTAAACATCGGTACTCAGAGGCACTCCCCATCCAAGTACTAAGCCAGGCTCGACTTTCCTTAGCTTCCGAGATCTGACAATATCCGCCGCATTCAGGTCAGATTTAGTCGTGGGCAATTGCGGACCGTCGCCACTGCCACCGCATTCCCCGATTGGGAGCAGATTCCTGGGGAGCCCGACGGCAATGTGGCCGACGTTCCCCGCACGTGCCGTGGGTGCAGCTGCCACGTGGCCTCATAGCTCACCGAGCCTGGCACAAGCGCCGTGGTGGTTGGTTGGTTGGGTTGGTTGGTTTGGTTGGTTGGGTTGGGATTGGTTTGGTTTGGGTTGGTTGGTTGATTGGTTTGACTTCACCGCCGCCTAAGTGGCGAATGGCGGCCACCGTCGTCGCTGGTGGGGCAGCTGCCGAGACGTGACCCCCTACCCCCCCCCCCTCCATCCCCGACTCAGTGACTGTTTTGTGTGATTCTACACGCTTTTTATTTAACTCACTCAGTCTGTTGTCGTATCCTTGAAAAATCTTGTAGCTCAATTTTTACCCGCTTCCCAATGTGGTATCGACTGCAAACTTGGTATACTTATGTCATACTGATGACAATACTATATTCTATCATAAAAAAATTAATATATGAATTTTTTTACATTTTACACGCTTTTATTTAACTCACTATGTCTGTTGTCGTATCCTCAAATCTTGTAACTCAATTTCAACCGTCTTCCCAATGTCGTATCGACTGCAAACTTTGTATAGGTGTGTCATACTGATGACAATACTATATTCTATCATTAAAAAACAAAAAAATGTAACAATCTTTTTTACGGGTCTAATTGTCCACTCTCAACTCACGTTGCCTGTAAATCACCACAGTTCCTTACGTTGTGGCAAGCTGCGAGGCCAGTTCCTGGAGTCGTGGAGTTCTGCCATTACGAGTACGGTACATTTCATTAAAGCGTTGTTTTTTTTAAGTATATTTAAATATTGTATTTGTTGGATGCCCACCACAGGCAATCAGGCATGGTGAGCGACCGCGTGTACGAGGACATACCGGACATCCCAGCTCCACGCGGGGTGCTCTCCTGTAAGTGGCTGCCACCCAGTCGTATTGTGTCGGTATTGTTTGACGTTTTGTTGTTGTTGTTCTTGTTGTTTCACCAATCTTCTCCACATTCACCAATCGGCTCTGTTAATACAAATCCAGGCGGTCTCCGGCTTACGACGGTCCAATTTACAATGATCCACGTTCACGACGTTTATGCAATGCCACCATGGATCGATTTACGACGCAAATGACTTGATTTACGACGCGTCTTGCGACACGACTCCGAACGCACTTGGACGGTCGGCCCGGATTCCGACGGACTTGGCGTGGAAATGTGTCACTCCCGAGCGTTTTTGTGGAGTTTTACCTTCAACCCCCTCTCAGATATGGCCGATAACAGGGGGAAAAACATATCGGCAAGTGATGTGGGCAGGTGCTCCAAATCGAGGGCAAACACATTTATTGTGGTCAATCTGTAAGATGCAACAGCACGTGTGTCACACACAGCAATCATCAACCGAGTCGCCATTCACCACGTGACTGGTGTACCAGTCCGGTTAATCAATAACAGTTTCTCGTAAACCCAATTCTACGACTGACAAACAATCTTGTTCTTTGACAATAACTTTTACACTTTACTATTCGAAAATTACTTTAATCCTAAGCTGTATGTCTATTTATACCATCCACTTATATCGGTATCTTAGACCCATTACCTGTACTGTATGTGTACAGTATACGTACTGTACTTGTCACCACTGTACAACTTACTAGTGTACATGTGTTCTATTCTCAATAGCATTGCAAGTAGTCATACTGTGGGTGCATGGGCATGGTTATAGAATAAACAGTATTAGGGTTAGAGAATTGCAAGTATCAACTGCAGTACATCATCCTTTACAGTGCAGACAGTGCTCAAACCCCTCCTATTGAATATATCACAAACTAACAATTCAAAGCCAAGCTTGAAGTTTAGAACAAGTCTAGAACATTTCTATAACGATCAAAAACAACCTTTGGGTCCACTATTGGGAACCTCCTTTGCCAGTAGTTGTTTTTTTACCCTTTTATCTGGCAACAAAACTGACACCTTTTTTACAAGGAGTCATGTTTGCATTGACCACAATACCTGCAGTCGGAATGCAAACAAAAAACACAACTCTGATAATGTATGCACTGTCCTTGAAATTGATTGGTCCACACCCGAGACAGCTTTTCTTAGAGCCTAGTCTCACATGGTGTTGGACCAGATGATGCCAAAAGGCGCAAGGAGGTTCCAATGGGGCACCAGTAAGTTTTAGATTTGAAGCTTTCGTGACTGCAAGGATTCATATTCCTAGGTTTTTTCGGTAAAGTCACGTAGGTAAAAAAATAAAAATTTAAATTAATAAAAGTAAAATAAATAAAAAAAAATCACGACGTTTCGGAGGTATTAATTAAAAAATTTTACCTACGTGACTTTACCGAAAAAACCTAAGAATATGCACCAGTAAATTGCTCACCTGTCTTGAACATGGGGAAATGCTCACAAAATACCGTGGTGTTGAACATGCTGATTGTAATGCATGACAACACACAATGGCGTTCTTGGAAAATGTTGTGAAATCACGGGAACATGCCTGTGATTATGTCGCCCAATCTCGACACACCTCAGAAGCTCATTCGGGTTTGAGCCTAGTTAGTGCTTGGATGGGCGACCGCCGTGCATTAAACAGGCACCGGAGCGTGCTGCGGGGCTGTGAATTTAGCAGGGGGCAACGGAGACCAGAGGTCATGTGACGGGATCTCTGTTGTAGTTCTGCGATGTTCGCTTGCATGGCTAGTTCTCTAACGCGAAGGGCCGAATCAAAATGGCTGCTCTGCCTCGTGGCTCCGCGCCAATAGAACAATCGTAATCGTCGATCTCGGCATCACACGGTACATTTAGCGATTATCAGGCACGTAAAGTGTGCGACGACTTAATTGCCATTTGTACAGAGAAGGTTGGTGAGGACAGGAAAGGTTTTGGCCGTGGCGGTGGGTTGCAATGGTCAATGTTTGGGGAAACCCTCTCTTATCGTTTCCATGAAGGTCCGCGGCTTTAGTGAGAACCCTTCGCTTCCAGGAAAAATAAACGGGCCACATGAAAGAAAGGGCATTGTGCTGTGATGTGTAAAAGTTGCAGCCTTGCAATTTTCTAACTCACGCCGCTGCTAGCGGAAGGGGCCTCCAGTAGTTGGAAGCTCGGGAGGGTATTTCACCCTACTCTTCCACGTTGGCCGGTACATCATGGAAGAGGCGGGGAGGACCCACACGTCATCCCCACCCGCCGAACAGCAGCACCTGCCGATCGTCTTAACTGCGGTGGATAGAGGCAGAGAGCGTTAACAAACAAACAAAAATCGATGTATTGTTTCAACTGCCACACCGTGAGATAAAATCAGCCCGGTAGGCCCTCTGGATCGGAAGTCACAACCGCTGTGGCAGTAGATCACGGCAGTCGTGCGTAACCGACGCGGTTAAACGCGGTGCGGTGGCAGGATGACCGGACGATCGCGATTTTTTCTGCACGACCCGCCTCGGCCCTTTCACCCTTGCCGATCGTTGAGAGATAACTGGGGGGGGTCGGGGTGCGGCAGCGGCGGCGTCACGGGGGCCGCCGAGGTTAATCCGCGCATCACGCGCCACCGTTTTTTCCCCTGTGGGGGTGGGGGGGCGCTCAGGAAGCGGTGTGTACCTTGGGTGTAGAGGAAGTCGTGGGCCGTGCTTCCTTGTTTTTGCATGAACTATGCTATTTCTTCGGTCTCTAAAGGCAAACAACGGAGCGGGGTGTGTGTGGGGTGGGTAGGGGGTAAAGGAATTCAACGGCGGCAATGCTCCAGCGACGCGCCGTTCGCGGCCAGTGTTGTGTAATTTTCGCCGCCGTCGTCGCTGCTGCTGTTTGCGTTCGTGCAGCGCGAGGGATGGAGGACGATGGCAACACGTACGAAGAAGTGGAGTACGTGGAGAAGCGGCCCGCGAAGGTACGTGAACGGGAACGCAGACGCGGCGGGTACGTTCGTCGCAGTTGAAATAAAACGGTGCGGTGATCATGCTGATGCTGCTGCCTGCCGCCGCCGCTGCATTGGCAACGCGTGCACAGGAGCCAACGACGCGAAGCTGAGCACGTGATGTCAATAGCACTGCTGTGGGCTACGAAAGGTAAAAAATATATATATAGCAGGTGATGTATTGGGCAATGGCCTTTCTTCACGGCACATATTTGTGACGCACGTGAATTCCGCCGTGAACAAGAGGCAATTGCCCCAAAAAACGTTGCCTTGTAGAACTTTTTTCCCCTTTGAAGGTCACGGTGTCATTAACGAATGTGTTGAGTTTTATGGTAACAATAAAATCACTTTGAATGTACGGGGCGTCCAGGTGCCCACAGAGCTCGTCAGGGTAATGTACGAGTCAAGGGTATTAAAATAAATTGCACATTCAGAAATGAAATACAGGGCGACCGTGAGCTGGGCAGATTTAACAGTGGGGGGGGGGGGAATGACGCACACCTTGTACACAAACGAAACCGGAGACCCGAGTTCGATTCGTGCTCACGGCCAACACCGGTGACGATTATCTAAACCGTATCCAACTCGGCTTCGTAGCGCATTGCCAGGTTCGTAGCGCATTGCGTTACATCACTCTGCCACCAACACTCCCTCCACCCGCATGCACCGTTTACGAAACGTAAGAACAAATGTCGGTTCTTTAGCACGAGAATCAGTTAGATCTATCGTGGTAAAAAAAAACGAGCTCTGTCACCCTCACGAACCGCAACCGGATTGGTCCTTCCTGTTCCTTAAATGAGTCCTCATAACAATATGGAACTTCTGTCTGGTCTCTGATATCAATGTCATCGTTGCCCGTGTGAGCGTAGTGCAGTGGTCAGCGCGCTGCGCTACGAACCTGGCGGCCCGAGTTGGATTCCCACTCACGGCCAACACCGGTGACGATTATCTGAACCGGTCCTGGCCCTCCTCTAGGTCGACTCGGCTGCAAATGAGCACCTGATGCGGTGTGCAAACGTCGCCACCGGGGTTACAAAGGGCGGTTGGGCGTGCTGCCGGCCACCAAACCCCTCGTGTGCCGTGCCGGCTTAAATAGATGCTCGCAAACGGCACTTGCCCCAAAAGCAAAAGTCTTTAATGGCTATACGGGGGGGGGGTGGGGGATGATCTTTGGCTTTGCTTGTCTGTTGTGCACGTGTAGTGATGGGCCTTAGAGCGCATCCTCGTACCCACCTGTGGGAAAACGTCTCCTGCACAGCGCCTCACTCGCTTGACATTCAAATGTTGCGCCTCGTTAACGTTCGCCGATTTTTGTTGTCGCTCTCCGGCGCGCGTGGCTCGCTTTTTTTCTCTCTTTTTTTCTCTTTTCTGCGCGACGTCAATCGGTCACCTGCGGCGCGGAACTCGGTGTGAGGTGGACGCTGCAGAAGGAAATGGAAACCCCGTTGCAGGAGTGACCCGCGTCGTGTAACTTCTGACCCTTGACCTTATCGCAAACCGAGGTCTCCGTCGCAAGAAGACTCCTGTTATCCCCGTGAAACTCTTTTAGGTGGTTGAACAAATGAAGGCTCCCCACTCGCCGGCTCGACTGCCGCGCGAGCCAGTGAGTCGGCCTTGATAGGTGCTCGCTGACAGCGGCACCTGTTGAGGCTGGCAGGGCCTGTCAGTCGGCCTTGATAGATGCTCGCTGACAGCGGCATTGCTCCGAGGCTTCCGCGCGCAGGGTGTGATCATTGCGATTGCTGCATCGCTCATGCAATTCTTATTTTTAAAGAAAGCAAGTTGTGGAACTGGTTCTTCCAACAAAAAAAAAAGACGAACTTGTTTGCTCAACTCGCTCTTGCTTTTGCCACCACCGTAAACAGTATTGAGGAACTCCCTCTCGACTGGATGTCGTCTCTCGCTGCTACGCCCCTCGGTGACACAAATGGGGCTGGGGAAGCGAGCGAGAGAGGAAAATGTGCATTCGGCGCGCTAATAACCACTGCTCGCGTCCTCGTTCCTGATGTTGACACACACTGCCTCGCAGGACCAGCTCCAGCAGCAGCGACAGAGGAAGGCTCCCGTCGCGATGACGAGGATCCCCGGCCACCTGACGGACGCATCGGGAAGCTCCGTGAACGAGACGGGTTACAGGTGAGGAGGAGGAGGAGGGGGGGCTGAACGACGCTCATCGTTGATTTGTTTACTTGGCGGATGGAGTTTGCGCTGTGCCCGCCGCGTTTGTCCGAGCGTGGTGGCAATGGGAGAGGGGGTAAAGTCCAGCCAAGCATCACTTTGACGATTTGGTTTCAGCCAGCGGATTTTTTTTTTACTTACAGAATAAATAACAGACATTGGCATCATTTATCCGTACGCATTGCACGTGGCCGACCGTGCGAATCGGAGGCGCGGGGGAATGACAACAACCGAACACACAAAAAGCGCAGTGCATTTACAGGCGTTCGGTAGTCTGTTACCGCGTGAAGGTCCCTCCAACATCCCCCCCCCACCACCCTCATGCCGTGTGTCAGCCGTAGGGGCTGTTTTGGCCGTACTTTACTCAACTTATTTTTGACACCACTCGTCACTGATGTTAGCCGCGAGCGGGAAATTGAACGATGGTAGCCGGGTTGACGGGTCCGTCCAGTGCCCAAACCACTGCAATGTGGCACCACTGCCTATCGTGGTCATAACAACCATCACCACCATCATCCAGCAGCAGCAGCACCAGCCATGGTCTGATGCACCGTCGATGTCTTTGTGTGATGACAGGCGAGCAATAAAATAACTTAATCACCCTTGACGGTGTTTTATAGAACAGCACGAACATTGACAAAGCACTGCAGAACGACTCTGAAGCCATACACACTCGCTGCGATTTGATACTTTCTACACAATTGCTGCGATTTGATACTTTCTTTGTGTGTTAGCTCAGTCAGGGTTTGGCAAATAATAGCGTGCCCAGCATTTTTATATTGTGTGCGTGAATGTGTGGTTTTTTTGTATCTATTTATTTATTTTACTTGCTCAAGAAAGCCTGCTTGGCATCCTTGAAAATGTTACTGCGGAAGCTACGTGACTCGTCAGGGCACAACCGAGAGACGGGAAGAGGTTGCACGTGGATTAGAGAACTTACACAATTTAAAAACGAAAGCAGGCTGGAGTATCCACAATAGAAGCTGTTTTGGGGGGTTGGATTGTTTCAAAGTAAATGTGTCGTTGAAGCCGGCCACCACCCGACACAGCCAATCAGTAACGTTTGTGACGTTAACAAAACGCGCCAATGAGTTACTCGTGTGTTGCAGAGTAAACCCACAACATTGCCAATTCGAGCACGACGCTTCGCCGGTTTTAATTACAACAATCAGCCTCATCAGGCGACAGCCAGCGTTGAGTATTTGACCTCTACGGGAGGGATGACGGCCGGTGGTCAAGACCAACGATGGAGCGCATGGGAGCACGACCACAGTGGAGACGGAGCGATGGAATCGGCTCATATGCTGGCGCTGGAGAATGGATTGCTGCGTCGTGAGATCTTGAGAGATGCCTTCATTCAGCAGTAGATAGATCATGGCTGATGACGATGATGATGATGACGGGGGGGGGGGGGTGACGAGGCCGTCAGGCAGCTGGCCACTTCGGTCTCCCTCTGCGCCTCCCCAACTTGACGCGGAGCTGCAGCAGCTGTTTTAATTATGATGGTAATTTTGTAATTGGCACTCGGCACCACCACGCAGTTCTCGCTCCGCTCTCGAACAGAGAGAGAGATAAGACGACTCGGAGACGTTAGGAACCACAGAGGAGCTGGTAAGCAAGCCACGTGGTGAGCCGGCGCTTGCTTCCTCCTTCCCAAGCTATGCGGTCCTTTACGTCTACGGAGGAGTTGTCGGCAAAATAACGAGCGTTTACACACGCGGGCGGAAACCGGAGCAACCAGAAGAAGAAATAAAACACTGCTCAAGCTGACATGGACGTAACAGGTGGGGTTCACGCTCGCCCGGGTAAAGCGCCTCGTCACTCACAGAAAGGGTATTATATCACAGAAACATTTGTTGCGATCCGTCATCCCTCGCCCCCGTGCTGCTGGATTACACGCCACCGCTTGTCAAAGCCAACCAGCGCCCGGGCATTGGCCGGCGTGTTCTCCGGCGTCCGCCCGAAGCGGCCGTACAGCGACAAGGGGACGGTTCATAATATAGGTTTTTGGGTCAGATCGCGTTATTTATAAATGTGTCGTAACCCTCCACCACCCGACACGGCCAAACAGTAAACAATGTGTCACGTTTTCAAGGGACAAATTAATTGACTTCTTTAGTCCACCGGTGTGCTGAGTCACTGCACCAGATTGAATTGAATTGAATGATGACGTCACCCTGATGCTGCTCTATTTAAGACCGGAAGCAACAGGAGAGCTTCACCATTCTTGCCCGATGAAGCTGATTGTAATTATCAGCGAAACGTCGGACTACTCAAATTTTAAAATGCTGTTAATTCTCTCTTCAGCACACCGGTTTGGCTAAAGAAGTCAATTAATTTGTCCTTTGAAAAACGTGACACATTTTTTACTGTTTGGCCGTGTCAGGTGGTGGAGGGTTACGACACATTTATAAATAACGCGATCTGACCCAAAAACCTATATTATGAATAATATTGGTCACGAAAGCCTGCTACGTGTTAAATTGAAGGGGACGGTTGTGAGGCCAGTGCTCGGTGATGTCATCGCATCGTTCATTCACGATGTGGAGCAAGCGGAGCCCAGGAATACGCCACTGACTTTGCGTGTGGAATCGCTGACTCGTTTCCGTCATCGCCCTCGGAGCCGTTGTGTATTTTCGTCGTCCGCCAAGCCTTTATTCAAATTTCTGGCATGCCGATCAGTCGTCATGAGGAAATTGTAACTCGAGGCAAGAAGCTTGCCAGGTAAAATTCCAGTCTATTTTCGTCGCTACCGTGTGCCATTAATTGGCATGAGGAACTTGCAACATTGAATATTAGAATTTGGCTTGCCTAAGCATGAAGATAAAAAAACAAATTCTGCAGATTTGCTAAAGTTCTACGGGAAATAGCAATAATGTGAGTAAGTCAAAGAAGGGTGCTGTGGTGGTGAGATGTTAACTACCTCGCCTGGTATATAGGAGGTCGTGGGTTCGATAGTTTGCATGCCATCTCTCCCCGTGGTCACATGGATTTTTCTCCGCATCCTCCGGTTTTTCCCTCCACATTAACAAAACACGCTTTTCGAGTATTTTGCTGCTATAAATTATTTACACTCGATAAGCCACTTCACTGAGCTATCATTTGTAGCCAGGTCGCTTCTGCAAAAAGAGCTACGTAGCTGAGGGGGCCTTAGCTGGTGAAGTAAAAAATTGTTCACAGTTTGATAGGTAGGTTAAGTGACAGGTTCACCAACAACGAAGCTGGTCTCGTTAGAGCAAGATAACCCAAGTGGGAAGGGGGCAGAACGCATCGCGAGAACAGCTGATGAGAGGGATGAGAGACGAAGCTCACCACGGAGTGGAGACCGAGTGAGTGGAAGAGAAAGTGGAGGAGAGACGGCGGAAGAGACTGTAGCAGCAGCAAGCGAGACAGGAATTTCAGAGTGCAGGGGGTCACGGCTGGCACGGGATCAAACCGAGGAAAGCTCGTCATGGAGGGGATGTCTTTGCCCGGCGGTGGGCAGTAGCAGCGACGACGACCGCAGCTTGCCCGGTCTAAATCTGTCGCTTCCACGCGACATTAATTGGTATGAGGAACTTGAAACATGATCTCATGCAAAGCACTAAGCATTCAGTCCGTCAATAACGGCCACGAAGGGAGAAAATAGGCAACAGGCGATGTTTCGAACAGCGGCCTTTCTTCGAAGCACGTGAAGAATGTGCCACGTGGAATGTTCACGTGAAGAATGTGCTTTGAGGAAAGGCTGTCGCCCGAAACGTTGCCTCTTGTGTATATGTTTTTAAGCTTTCAAGGCCGTGTGTGTCAGTGACGTGATTTCATCACCTCAGCTACGCTCAAAAAAAGTGGACACACACCAGGGACGTGCGGTCAGGGGAGGCAGGGGAGGCAGAGCCTCACCTGTCAGACTCCAATGACAATAGCTGTTATACGAAAAGTATAAAAAAAGAAAAAGAAAATAAAACAAATATTAAGATTTTTCCACTGATCTGTGTTATAAATGTCATTTCTGTACGATTCCAATCATTTTTATAGTCAAAATTGCAAAATTTGTGGAGCTCCGCTGCAAATACAGGAAGAGACGAGAGGTGAGGCAGCGACGAGCTCAGCCTCCCCTCTGATTGCGCAACCCCTCAGTTACTGGATGGAGCGCGGGCAATAAGCGCGTGCCTATTACTATCTCAGTGTGTCACCAATGTAATGTTTGTAGACCCCTTCATTTCATGTCCTCGCCTTCCATACTCCAAGTAACTTATTTCACGTACCTGTATAAAGGTATTTAGGCTCGCTGGTCTCGTCATGAAACTGCAATGAAAAAGCACCAGGGGAGGCAGCTATCCCATCTGCCTCACTGAGGGGGACGGACGTGTCTAACACGAATGAGGCCACGCCGCCCTCAGCGTGTGAATCTGGCTTTGACACTAGCAAGTGCCTCCCCAGCCATTGACCTCACCGCACGTCACTGACACACACCCACAAAGTGAGGCTGCTCCAAATCGGAGGAGTTCGACGCGCGGTTTTAAAGCCGCCACTGCCGATGTAAAAACGCTGAAATGGCGACATTGCATCGTCGGAGACGTGGCTTGACTTTAAACTTTGTAAAAAAAAAAGAGGATGATGCTGATGCTACTGCTGCTGCTGCACCTATTTTCACACCTGTATTTGCCGGGAGCCTGCTGTTGATTCCGACCTTTGCCCCGGACAACCGTAGCGGGACTTCAACGTTCTCACGGGTTTTTTGGCCGTTTTTACAATCGCCGCTTCTCACCCCTGATGAACTTTACATCATTATGGCTACGCGCGATTACGCCTAGCCTGTAACCTCTGCTAGCAGGACCATTATGTGCGGTGAAGAAGGTACATTGCCTGAAACGTCTCATGTAATATATTTGTTTTCCTTTTAAGGCCACGCAGTGTTGTTGACGAATGTGTTGAGGGTTTATTTATTTTTTGCAAAAGGATAACATTTTCCTACGATAGCCCAGAAAACGTGCAAACGTTGGGCGGTGGTTGGGCTAACGTCGAGCCAACGTTAGGCTCATATACATTTTCCACGTGATGATAAGCCATCTCGTGGAGCTATCATTTGTGGCCGAGGTTGCTTCTGAAAAAGAGATAGATCGCTCAGTAGGGCCTGATCTGTTAAAATAATAAAAAGTTTGTTGGCATGTGGTCGCAACCGTTGGGCAAAAGTTTGCACCAATGTTCCATATTTACTGGGAGGCTAGTGTCGGCGTTTTGTTCGTATAAAAAAAACACACACATTTGTTTACTCTTAGGTTTTTTCGGTAAAGTCACGTAGGAAAAAATAATAAAATTAATAAAAGTAATAATACAAATAAAATAATAAATCACGACGTTTCGGAGGCAACACAAGTCTCCGTCATCAGGTGGGACCGTCACAGCTAGATTTACTATTATTACTTTTATAAATTTTAATTTGTTCTTTTTAGCTACGTGACTTTACCGGAAAAACCTAAGAGTATGAATCCTTGCAGTCATGAAAGCTTCAAATCTAGAACACATTTGTTTCAAACAACAGACGTCACCTGATATCCCAAAATCTTTTTCAGGATTTGTATCCGGTCGCATGGAGACAACATATTCTCGGCCACGTTTTATCGCGTCGCATTCCGCGTCGTATCCCTCCAGATTGGGCCCCATGACACGTCCCCGCGTGAACCCGTGTCGACGATTTTATTGTCATTGCGCGGCGATCCGAAGGGCGAATGTGAAAAGCTGGGAGAGAGGGCGGGGGGGGGGACACACACACCGTGGACTGCGCATTCAAGTTCCCACCACCCACAAATGTGTTAAACATTACAATCGCAGGGTACGGTAGTAATACATTATACAGGGTGCTTCAAAACAATGCTACTATTTATATGGGACTATCGTTTTTAATGGAAAAAAGAACGGATAATACGCTGTAACGTGATAACAAATGTCATGTTAGTGGCTTCAAAGTGTCTCGACTTAAATTTAGATGTAAAGCTTTCGTGACTGCAGGGAATTCATATTCTTGGTTCTTTCGGTAAAGTCACGTAGAAGGGAAATAATAAAATAATACAAATATAGAACAATAAAAATTCTCACGACGTTTCGACTGCAACACAAGCAATCATCAGGTGTGAAATCCACAGCAAGAACATTTTTCCAAAAAAAATTCAAATTTTCTTGCTGTGGATTTCACACCTGATGATGATTGCCTCTTGACCCAAGTGCGTGCAATAACCTTGGCCCAAATCAATCATGCTGGCCTGCTTTATATTTACGTGACAAGCCCTACTAATTGGCTGTGTCGGGTGGTGGCGGGATTAACGGCACATTTATATTTGCACGAGCCTTTTGCACGTCCAAGGGCGGGTGTATTTCAGTAAATCTGAAACTTGCAAGAGAAAATCAGACCGCGACGTGATATTCATTGCATTAGTGCGTGTGCAATTTGTAAGGGCCGCGGTGACACAGACCTATTTCATGTCAAGGTTATAATCCCTTGTTCATCATGACGTCCTTTTTACTTCAATGTCTCAACAGCGTTACGGAGATCGCGTGACGTGAGGGTTCTGCCTTTGTAGTGAGGGTTGTAAGTTGACGCTGAGGAGGGGGGAGGAGGCACCTCGGCCCCCCATGCGGAGTGACGTGATCCGCTAATTATTATTAATGGGGGGGAAGGGGGTGTTTATTTGGAAGACGTCATCTCTTCATAAGTATTAATGAGGGGGAGCTGGCCGACGTGGAGTGACGTCACGTGCGGGACACACAGACATTCTTGGCTCATTATAGTAGTATGATCTAACCCATAAAAAACCTTAATTGTATATTTGGCATGCCTTGGGCCTCTGGGCCTGTGCTCGGAAAACCACGATTAACTTGTTTTATTTATTTCACGGTGCCTCTTATCGCTCGCGTCCAGCTCCGGCGACGAGGACCGCGTCTACAGCCTGGTCACGGACGTGGAGGGGGCGGCCGAGTCGGACCGCCATGTCTACTCGACGGGCGACGGCGACGGAAAAATCGTCCTGGCCCCACGGCCCGTCAGCAGCGGCGGCATCAAGGCCGGCTGGCTCGACAAGCAAGCGCCGCAGGGGTGAGGAGGGAGGGCAGGGCTGGGGCCAGGTAGGGGGTTCCTTCCCGGGCCACCGACGGAGTTGCGGAGTTTGCAACCCATTCCGCTCGTTGTCGCGGAGGGTTCGCGGTTCCAATCCGGTGGCCGTGCTGATTTAACGCTGCGGCGGTGTGTGTCGACCGTAGTGATGCCACGCTGTGTCTGTTTCATCTCGTGGTGGATGCTAAAGATCCCCCTGGCGTTGTTCGCAAGGGCAGGCCATTGTGTGCCAGTGTCAGGGGCCCAAATATGCCAAAATTCGAGACTTGCCCCGCAAATTACTCAATTGGGACGATACACAGCTGCAATCATAGTCCCCTTCCTTGCATAATGAGACTCATCCTGGTCTCTTGAGTTCTCACGTTGTTAAACAAATAAACTTGAACTTGACTCTAGGGTTCTCTAGAAGGCCCAATCATCAGCAGCAGCTTGAGCAAGAAATTGCAGGGCTGCCCTCTTCTGGGATTGTGATAAACGCTCAACACACCCACCGTCATCACCCAGAGCTCACACCAGCCATGGCGAATACAAGCGAATAACGAACCAAGCTCAAAGTCACCACGCAATTTGTGAGGACCGAACAAAAATGACCTCGTGGGTTTTTGGTTCTGTTTACGGCGTAACAGGGGGCAAGGGAAGGTGGCTAAAGAAGGAAGCGGCGTTGCAATGGTCCATCACACTCTGCCACGAACCTGGGAACCCGTGTTCAATTCTCGTGTAAACGTGTCCATGCTTTTTCTCGCCCTCACGGTTTTTCCAGGCCGTACCTTTTCCAGAAGCGCTGGGTGAAGAGTGATGGCCGCTACCTTTACTACTACTCTAACGACAAGGTATCTGGCGGTCGGCGGGGGTGGGGGGGGCGGGGTTGTAGTGGTTAGCGGCACTGCGCTGTGACCCCAGCTGCTTACCCAGCGTTCGATTCCCATCGGTGGCGAGTGGCATCTGTACCATTTCCTCGTCACCGAGCCGGGCCGACTAGCCGGCGTAAAAGTCCAAAGATTGATTTCATTAATGATTTGTTGGAACTTCGTTGGCAGTTTTGAACAAGCAGAATTTCCAATAAAAACTCAACACATTCAACTGTACCGCGACCTTGAATGTAACAAAAATATTTGTAAGCCCACGATTTGACCGAAAACATTCTATTTATCAGGTTAAATCTATTTTATTGGTTTTTTTGTCATTGGTGATGCGGTTAATTTTATGAACTCATCATATTATTCGATTACATTTTCACTTTGGAACCTGGTTTAAATCAGGTTGGGGCACCACGAAGGCGAGATGTTTACCACCTTGCCTGGTATACCGGAGGTTGTGGGTTCAATCCCGACCCTGACGCCTGTATATTTGCAGTTTGCGTGTCTCTCTCCCCGTGGTCGCGTGGATTTTTCTCTGGGTCCTCCGAATTTTTTCTCCACATTTGTAATCGACTTGCGCTCAGAGTATTTGGCTGCTATACATTCTCTCGTCATGATAAGCCACTTCGTTGAGCTGTCATTTGCAGCCAGTTTGCTTCTGTAAAAGAGTTATATAGCTCAGTTGGGCCATACCTGGTTAAAAAAAAATTGCAATACAAATAGTAATGACAAGGTGGGTGAACCCCGGATTGAAACCCAGGATCATGGCGTCATTAACCTTTGACCCCACCCCCCGAGCCGCCCGTTCTCCTCTTACCGGGGTTCTGGTGTCCGACTCTTCCTCCCGGTTCCTCCCGGTTACCTCCCCACGTCCCACACCACAGGAGGTGTACTCCAAGGGCGTCTTGCCTCTGTCCGCCGTCCAGGAGGTCCTCGCTCAGACAGGAGGAGATGCCAAATTCGAGGTGGTGACGCAGACCAGGGCCTTCGTGTTCCGCGCCGACTCGGAGGGTGAGTGGTTTTAAACATTCTGGTAGAGCCCTTGCACCAGAGGTCGCAAACGGGTTTTGATTCCTTACCCGTACCCGGCCGCACCAGGGTCGCAAATGGGTACCCGTACCCGGCCGTACCCGTACCCTACCCGTACCCGGCCGGGTACGGGTAGGGTACGGGTATCGGGTACCTGATTGCGACCTCTGGGATGAAGCCATGTTGCAGGCGTGGGTGGGTTGATTCTAGGAACTTGAATTGTGAGAAGAGACAAGACGTTGAGGAATGAGTGACAAACGGTGACTCACCAGTGACTCACGGCCTACCCGTACCCGGCCGCACCAGGGTCGCAAACGGGTACCCGTACCCGGCCGGGTACGGGTAGCCGGGTATCGGGTAGGGTACGGGTATCGGGTATCCAGTTGCGACCTCTGCCTTGCACTGGGCTTCTTCGCAAGGAGCCCCTAACATGGATAAAAGAGACCTCCCCGTTCCAAGAGATCTCAGCAAAAGTTAAACTAAACCTAAAACGAAACTATTTTTATTTTACCAGGTATGGCCCACTGAGCTATGTAGCTTTTTTTCAGAAGCGACCTGGCTGTCATTAATGATAGCTCAACGAAGTGACTTGTCATCACCACGTGGTAATTTATAGCAGCCAAATACCCTCAACGCGTGATGTTGATTCTAAGTGTGGAGGGAAAAACCGGAGGACCTGGAGAAAAATCCACGCGGGGAGAACATGCAAGCTCTAAATATACAGGCATCAGTGTTGGGATCGAACTCACGACCTCCTGTAAACCAGGCGAGGGAGATAACAGCTCGCCACCAATGCCAACGCCTGGCCAGCTGGTTTCTTTTGAAGAAACTGGAATAAATAACTTACCTTACATTGTAACGGTTTCCAGCTAGGGTTGAACGGGTTTCAAGTATTAACTCTGTTGGTAATGGGGAGGGCGGAGGGGAGGGGGGACATGGTAAGTCAATATGAGTTCACCTCTCATGAGAAAGTTGTTTGCTATCAGAGACTGGTCAAAGGATTGCCCAGACTTATGGGAGACGACAACCAAAGCTAAAAAGCCTGTTTGTAAGCATGCAAACAAACGTCCCTGGCAGCTGGTACAATGTCGAACCTTCAAACAAACGGGCAGCGAACAACCAGCCTGCCATTTATCTTCTTGGTTCTTTCGGTAAAGTCACGTACAGGTCTGTCGAGAAGGCAGACTCGGCCTTCTCAACAGACCTGTTCTCCACCTGAAGACGGCTGCTTGCGTTGTGGCCGAAACGTCGTGAGAATTATTTTATTGGTTTATTTTTATTATTTTATTATTTCCCTTCTACGTGACTTTACCGAAAGAACCAAGAAGATGAATCCCTGCAGTCACGAAAGCTTTAAATCGAAATTTAGCCTGCCATTTGCGACGTCAAAAAAAACCGACGCTTTCCACCACAGCCAGCGTCTCACCCCCCGTCACCCCCACCGTGCATTTCGCGCGTGCAGTGGAGCGCGCCGGCTGGGTGTCGGCCCTGCGCGAGGCCGTCCAGGACCAGCGGTCCCCCGAAGGCGGCGTGGCCTCCATGCTCCACAGCGCCGGAGTCATCCCCGGGGAGGCCCTGTGGGGGGAACAGGAGAAACGCGGGACCCTGGAGCTGCGCGGCAAGGCCAAGCTCTACGTCGTTGGCTGCTCTGACCGCCTGTGGCTCTTCAAGAGCGAGCAGGTTGTTTTATGTGTGTGTGTGTGTGTGTCTGTAGACACGTTGAACTTCTTTCGCACCGTACATAGCCAACCGTGCTAATCGGAAGGTGCGAGGGACAGGACAACAAACTAAAACACAAAGTTTTAAAGAAATTAGTTTGCAATCTGGATTTTAAAATGGATATCTCCCAGTGGCTTTCTAATCTCGGAAGGGAGAGCGTTCCAGACGGCCGCATCTAAAAGCGCACGATGCGGTGAGCTAGCCAAAAGCCGCTGCGAGGGTGACCGGAGTTCGCGTAATGATTTATGTTCCCTTACGAGATCAGCAAGGTATTGTGGATAATATGTAGCAAGCACTTTGTAAACGTCCGTTTCAAACATTCCTTCGTTATTCACAAACTTTTTCAATCCCGCGATTTTGGCAGATTCCGGTATCTGAACTCTGCTCGACCACTGCATCGAGAGAGAGAAAAACAGCAATGAGAGAGAATGAGATGCAAGAAAGTGATGAGATAAAGTGATGGGATAAAGTGGTGGTGTGCAGCATCATCACAATTGAACGTAATTTATTATGAAATATTTTTGATTTACTTTAGATTTATTTTTATTTACTTTACGTGTATGAAAAGCAATGTAGATATTTTTGTTTTATGATATTTTAATGTATTTAGTAGCTTATTAATGTATTTTTTAAGGTAATTTATTTCGTAGGCCAATATCATTATCCGCAAAAAAAAATCTGTTCACGGACATCTCCGGAACGTATCATCGTTGAGCGTGACCACAGGGTGTCCGAGAAAGGGTCGGTAACTCACCGTTATACAGCAACAGCTCTGTTATCCCGCATCCGTGGGGCAATGGAGGGTGCCAGTTAATCAAACATGGCGGTTATCTGAGAGGTGTAGTTATGGTTCATCAAGCACATAAGACTTTTAAAGAATGAAACTACGCCTACATTTTAACTTCTATATAAGAAACAACATACTCTTTTACAGAGGTACTCACCAGTCAGTTGTAAAGCATTCTAAGCTGATTATAGAGAAGCAGTGGGGCAATAGGTGTGCCTTGCCAGCCTTCATAGATGCTCACCACCAGCACTTGCCCCCAGCAGTTTGTTCAAGGCTACACGGGGGATCTTTATCTTTGTTTGTGTGTGTGTGTTCTTTTATTCATTCAGGACTTCCGTACCTCGTTGGGTATCACCTGCATTGAGATGAACGTGGCAAACGTGAGGGCGGTGGAGAAGAAGGGCATTGATCTCACGACGGCGTTTAGAACATTCAGGTAGAGGCCTTGCACTGGGGCCCCTTTGTAAGGAGCCCATAACGTAGAATAAAGAGGACCTCCCATTCCAAGAGATCTCAGCAAGAGTTAAATGTTGCACACTCGAAATGAAGGACGTGGGCAGGTGCTCCAAATCGAGGGCAAACACAGTTATTGTGGTCAATCTGTAAGATGCAACAGCACGTGTGTCACACACAGCAATCCTCAACCGAGTGGCCATTAACCACGTGACTGGTGTACAAGTCCGGCTAATCAATAACAGTTTCTCTTAAACCCAATTCTACTACTGTTAAACCATCTTTGTCTTTGACAATAACCTTTGCACATCACTATTCAAATGTTACTTTAATCCCAAGCTGTATGTCTATCTATACCATCCTTATATTGGTATCTTACACCCATTACCTGTACTGTATGTGTCCAGTATACGTACTGTACTTGTCACCATTGTACAACTTACTACTGTACATGTGTTGTATTCTCAATAGCATTGCAAGTAGTCATACTGTGGGTGCATGGGCATGGTTATAGAATAAACAGTATTAGGGTTAGAGAATTACAAGTATCAACTACTGTACGTAATTCTTTACAGTGCACAGTGCTAAAACCCCTCCTATTGAATATATCACAAACTAACAATTCAAAGCCAAGCTTGAAGTCTAGAACAAGTCGAGAACATTTCTATAACGATCAAAAACAACCTCTTGGTCCTTTACGCTTGCTTACAAACATTTTTGCTCTGGTTTATTGCTCTGGTCTTTTTTGCTCTGGTTTTGTGTCTGCAAGTAACGGTAACTCTTTGGTCACCGTAGATGGTGTTCAATCGGGTCAGTCCATAATAACGGCACAATTCTATGGGAACGTTTTCGCTCCCATTGCATAATCTTTCTTAGCGTTAAACAAATTATTTGCTGGCGCAAAAACAAACTCGACGCACTCGTCGATAACAACACCACCCAACGAACATGTTGCGTTTCCAAGAGTTACAGTTTCCTCGCCCGTTACTCACGGACGGACGGACGGACGAACGGAATGCACGTATGGCTTCCAACCGGAGCTGGAAAGTTTTCAAAGCGTCGGCTCCCTTTCCGCGGGAGGCAAGCGCGCTCGACCGGCGTTCGAGGGCGTCGCGCGATTTGTGCGGTCACAGCTTCGTGGCGGAGAACGAGCGCGAGCGCGACGAGTGGCTCGAGACGATGCAGGACGCCATCGCCACCTCGCTCTCCCACTCCGACGTCGCCGAGCAGATCTGGGCCAACGAGCACAACCGCCGCTGCGCCGACTGCGGCGCCGCCTGGCCCGACTGGGCCTCCGTCAACCTCTGCGTCGTCATCTGCAAGCGCTGCGCCGGTAACTGACCGGCAACAGAGAGCCGAGGGCGTTGACAGCGCTGGCGGCGGTGGCGGCAGCGCTGCGTTTCGAACCCGGCGACCCCGGGTTCGATAACCGCTCGCGGGCACCAACACCGGTGACGGTTATCTGAACCGGTCCTGGACCTCCCCTAGGTCGACTCGGCCTCAAATGAGTACTTGGTGCGATGTGTAAACATCGTCATGGTGGAGACGAATGGCAGCTGTGCGCGGTGCTGGCCAACTCACCCCACGTGTGCCGTGCCGGCCTTGATCGGCGCTGCTGGCTAACAGCACTTGCTCCAAAAGTCTGTTGCAGCCTACACCGGGGTCATCTTTTTCGTTTCTTCTCGTGGCTGGGGAGGGCTCGTTTCACAGTGGGAAGTTTGTGGTTTCATTTAGAATCCACATGCATTTGGAATATTTTCATGCTGTACATTTCCACGCGATAAGCCACTTCGTTGAGCTATCATTTGTGGCCAGGTTGAAAAAGAGCGATGTAGCTCAGTTGAGCCTTACCTGGTGAAACAAACTTTTTTTTTCAGTTTTTCAAAATAATTTGGTGACTGCTCCGCTGGCGTGCCGATTTGCCTTCACCTCGGCGACGGTGCGTGGAGCCGCACAGCTCATTCCCCGTCGGGTTTTGTTTTCCCGTGCGCACCATCTCCAGGCGAGCACCGGAATTTGGGGCAGACGGTGTCCAAAGTGCGCAGCCTCAAGATGGACAAGAACATCTGGACCAAGAACCTCATCGAGGTCGGTCTGCGGTGGAGAGGACTGGAGCGTGCGTTTTCGTGGACGAAAATAAATAAATGCTGCTAAGGGTTGACTTCTCGATTTGTAACCCCCGCGGGGCCGGATGGTTTTCCGGGGGGGACCGTCACGTCCGACCGGACGATCGTCTGCGCCACGAACCCGGCCCGCCCGTGGGCGAGTTCGGTTCCCGCTCACGGTCAACACCCAGTGACAATAATTATCTGAACTGGTCCTGGGCTTCCCTTAGGTCGACAAATGGTGTGTGTAAAAAAAATCATCGCCACTGCGTGAGACAAATGCGGCCGGGCGTAGTTGCCGGCCACCCCACCCGCCTCGCGTGCCGTGCCGGCCTTCATAGGTGCTCGCTGACAGCGCTCGGCCCCAACGGTCTGTTAACGGCTACACGTGGGTTGTTGATCTTCGCGTGACGAGGCAGCTCTTCCAGGAGCTGGGGAACGCCCAGGTGAACAAGTTCTGGGCGGCGTCGGTGCCGCCGAGCGAGGCCGTGGACCCGAGCTCGGAGGCCGAGCGGCGCCGCGAGTACGTCTTCTCCAAGTACCGCGAGGGCCGCTACCGCTGCTACCACCCGTGCTTCGGCAATGAGACGGAGCTCAACCAGGTGAGCGTGGCGGCGGCGGCGCTCGGTCGAGATGAGCGGCGTGAGTCGACGTGCGCACGGTGAGCGTCCGTGAGACTCGCGCTCGTGGTGGCCGTGCTGGTGGCGGTGGTGGTGGCTGTGCACCGGGGAGTCTGTAATCCAGGCACTGGTCGCACGAATGCTGCGGAATGAAATTCCCTTCCCTGTATGTATGTGTGTATGTTAAACGTAGCCAACTGTGCGAATCGGAGGTGGCGATTAGCTTTGTCATAAGTCTTTGCCTTCCCATGGACGTCGAAGAGGAGGAGGTACCATACCCCTGGCAGTTACAGCAGAAATGTGCAGTCCACCTGCGTCTGTATGAATGGGATCGAGCGTTTCCCCCTCACACGTGTGGGTTTTTTCCGGGTGCTGCGGATTCCGCCCACACTCATTCGCTGGCTGGTCACATCTTCTTGTATAGAGGACCGCAGAGCTTGGGCATTCGTCAGCGTCGGCTCACCATGCGGCTGCCTTCCCACTTGTTCCTGGCACCTTTGAGCCATTCTCTCTCTCAATCTAGGAGTGAGCGAATACCGCGCGTGTTACAAGTCGGAACTTATTCTATGAGCTCGTGGACAGACGAGCCGAGACGGATTGCTGTTGCCTCGTGACCATCCTTGAGCAATTGCAACTGCTTTGGGACGAAATTTAGATTTAAAGCTTTCGTGACTGCAGTGATTCATATTCTTGGTTCTTTCGGTAAAGTCACGTAGAAGGGAAATAATAAAATAATAAAAATATAAAACAATAAAAATTCTCACGACGTTTCGACTGCAACACAAGCAATCATCATCAGGTGTGACATCCACAAAATCCCTTCTACGTGACTTTACCGAAAGAACCAAGAATATGCTTTGGGACGGTTTAATCCAGCGCCATGGCACTCACTCACTCACTCACCCACTCATCCTACCACATTGGCCCTCAACTACTCACTCGCCCCTCTAACCACATTGGCACCCACCCACGCAGACCACTTGCCCGTTCCCCCACCCAACCAAACCGCATCGGCACTCGCACGCGAGCACGTTCACCTCATTGGCACTCTCCCAGCCACCCGCCCACACGATCAGTTCTTCCACCTGACCGCTTTGGGCCCACTCACCACTGACTCATTCCCCCCCCCCACTCCTCTTCCCCCCGGTCCAGGCGCTGTGCAGGGCGGTGGTGACCCCCAATATGCTGGAGTCGTTGGCGCTCGTGTTCTGCGGAGCGAGCGTGCTGTGCTGCGCGGGCGAGCCGGACGGCGCCACGCCGGTGCAGCTGGCACAGCGAGCGGGACAGCGCCTGCAGACCGAGCTCCTGCTGCAGAACCGCAACTCGAGTGCGTGGCCACTCGGCGCGGGACGTAGCTACCGGCCACGCCATCGAGAATTGGCAAAATCAAGCGCGAAAACTACATTTTGTCGCGCTTGATTGCGTAGAGTGTGTGTGCGGCGTTATTGCGGTAGCGTAGCGGTTAGCGCGCCGCGCTAGCGACCCGACGACCCGAGTTGGCCAATGCCAGTAAGGCGGTCGGGCGTGGTGCTGGCCACCCACCCCATCGTGTACCGTGCCGGCCTTCATAGGTGCTGCTCACGAACAGCACTTGCCCCAAGATTCTGTTAAGGCTATATGGGGGATCTTTGTCTTGGGAGTTATTGGTGACCGGGCCGAGAACATTAACTCCCTACGATTGAGGATTCTGGTCTTCATCACGGGTGACCGAAACCCGGATTCGAACCCAGATTATTAGTGTTGTGCCAGCTCAACAGTCCTCTGCATTCTTGAGCCGTGTGGCCACGGAAATCGGACACAAAGACATATACGTGCGGCCCCTTTTTGTTCACTCCGCTGCTGGATGAGAACCCCCCCCCCCCCCCGACACACAGTGCACATCTTGGAGGTTTTTAGGCTGGACCCCACCACGCTGGTCAGTGCGGGTTGGCACGATGTCGCCTGTTCGCACCGCGGTACACTGATGGCGATGTTGAGCCTCGTAAATGCTGGTCCCGCGAGTGGATTCGCAACCGGAGTTAGTCCATGGTCCACCCCGTATCGTATCCTCACAAACCCTGGCAGATGCCACAAATGGAAAGTTACAAGAAATCTCTGGTGTGCGACTGTGGTCATCAAGGACAGAGAGCGTACAACGTCTAACGACGCAATGCCCCGATCCACAAAATACGAAGGGGGCGTCACAGCGATGTTACACTACTCCGCTGCTCCTGACGCGGTTATCCGGCTTGGAATGTGAAATTGCAATCATTGCTCTGCGTCGACATCATCCGCCGTACGACAAGAAAAGAAGAAAAAAGAAGAAGAAAAAAAAGACCGAAGTTAGTTACATGCTCCGCTCACACCCCCCCCCCTCCCCACCGCCTCCCGTGTTGCGTCCGCTACCGCAGCGATACCCGGAGCCACGGTGCCGTCCTCGTCACCGGCCATCGTCTCGGGCTACCTCTACAAAACGGCCTCCACGACCAAGGTCCTGGTTGACCGCAAGCCCAAGGAAGGTGAGGACGCTCTGAACTAAAATGATAGACACCCCGAGCTCGCTCCGCCACCGCCGCCGCTTTGTTTCGTTTGGGGGGCCCACGGCGCAGCAGCTTCTCCCGCCGGCGCGGTAACATCGCCGGGTGACTGAACGCTTGAATCCTTTTGGCTGTGTGGTCGCGGTGCGGGGTGGGTGCGTTTCAGATTTCTGCCGGCGCTGGTGCGTGCTGGAGAACGGAGCGCTCAGCTACTACGAGTCGGAGCGCAGCGCGACGGCGAGCGGCCGCGTCGAGCTGCAGGACCTGGTCAGCCTGGCCGTGAGCGGGGCCCACTCGCACAATGCGCACGGGTGAGGAGGGATGGAGGGGAGGGGAGGGAGGGGGGCGGAGCAGGAACGTGCTGAGTTCCACGCTGGGAAAAGACAGGGCATGGCAAGAGCGGCCCTCGAAGATGCGTCACCTGTGTAGCAGGAGGCAACGACTCGGAGCCGCACAGTGGCGGCGGTGACGAGGCTGTAAGGGCGCACATTGGAGGACGGGCTCTCGATTTATGCAACGGCTTTGGGATCTAAAGAGAAAGGAAGAAAGCGATGGGAGCGTTCGTGACGACCCTATTGACCTACTTCCCTCCCGTTGACACATCCCCTGTCCCCCTTGCCAGGATGGAGCACACCTTTGAGATCTGCACCAAGAATGAGAAGCTCTTCCTGTTTGGGTCGGACTGCGCCGCCACGCACAGGGAGTGGGTCCTCGGTCTCCTCAAGGTGCGGCCCCCTCCCCGTGCCGCTCGCTCCTCATCTGCCGGCGCCCTTGGCCCAGTTGGATGGGGAGTGCAAAATGTAGAAAACGTAGCACGCTGTTAAAAAAATTAACCCGTAAAAACGTTTTTCACTATAAATCCTTTATATGCGTGGCATCGGTTTTATTTTATTATTCATTTCTGTTTTTCTTGAGTAAGAGTTTCATTTTTATCACATTGGTATTTTAAATTAAATATGAAGAAAAAAATTCCTAAAAAGTGGAAAATTTTGGAAATTTTTTTCACGAAAATAAATTGTCACGCACAACTAGTCTGTGTGCAAAATGTCAGCTCGATTGGATCACGGGAAGTGGGTTAAAAAACGACCGAAATATTTGCACGGTCGTAAGCGCGCAAGCAAGCAAGCAAGTGAACTTAATATAAAGGATTTTAAAAAAGTACAAATTGCAAAAGTACATTAATTCCTGCCGATTTCCCAACACTAAATGCAAGTTCTTGTATTCAGATGTTTTTATCATTATACAATTGTTATATAATTGAAAGCGACCAATTGGTGCCATGTGCCCATGGTGCAGTGCTAATTGCTGTGCATGACGTCATCGACTTAATAGTAACCGATCGTGAAATGCTGCCAAATACGTTTTTACTTCTGAGCGCGATGCGATCGACGATGTACGTGCTAGAGGTTCGCGGTCCGATCATCAACACGACTGCGACAATGATCCGCACCCCAGCCCCCACACCCTCCCCTTGTTTTTTCTTCTTTTCCTTCCCTTCCCCTAAAGAAACTCCACTCCCCCCCCTCACACCCCGATCGTTGTCCCTACGTTTAGTAAGGATAGTGAGGTCCATCCTTCTCCAGTTTCCCTTGCCCCCGTGAGCACCGTGCCTCAGGCTTTTGTCCACAAAATATCTATACACGCCGTCTCTTTTTCTTTTTTGTCGCTCGCATTCTGGACCAAGCGCTTTTGTTAAAAAAGTTAAACAGATAGATATTTTAAAAATACAACAACGATTGATCGTGCTGACAACAACGCTGCCGCTGACGATTGAGACGGCGATTTACGACGACGGTAACCACGACGACGACTCGAAACGAACGGCACTTCTCTATCGCCGCAGGCCCTGCCGTGGCCCGGCGCTGAGGCCCTGTGCCGCCGCGGTTTCGACCGAGTGGGCCCCCTCTTGTGCCGCGACGGCCGAAGCCAGATCCGCTGGCGGCCGGCCGTGTTCGCGCTGCACGGCGCCTTCCTGCGCTTCCGCACGGTCGTCGCGACGCCGGCCGCCGCGATCGCCCAGGCCGACGTGGCCTCCCACAGGCCGTCGTCCGGGGTGATGGGCCGAGCGTCGCCCTCGCAGGAGGGCTTCTACGAGGTTGCCGAAGACGGCGGCGCAGACGACGGCGACTTCGGCGACGACGGTGACGGTGGCGGTGGCGAGGACGGCGGCGGCGACGGTGATGACCTCGAGGGCACCGAGGTGGTGGTCAACCTGCAGAAGCTCCAGGAGATCTGTACGTGAGAGGTCTCCCCCCTCGTGCGTCGAGCCAGCCGGAGGTTTTGTTTGCTGGGGGGAGGAGGGGGGCCGTGGATGGGACCGGGATTCAAAAGGTTGAATTTTAGTGTCATGCGGGAGGTTGCCGGGCCTCCTGGGGTTACAACCCGGGCGGCTGCGAGTTATTTCAGCGGTTCTCGGATGTAGTGGGCCGATGGTCTTGGTATCAGTGAATTGCACGAACAAATCATCACGTTGGATTTGGGTGTGCACTTAACATGACTATCATTTCAGCTCTGAGAGTTAAGAACAGTCGGTTGTGTTTGTCACGCAGTGAGCGTTAGTCTGCGGCGCAGGGCGGGTGGGTAAGTGCTGCTCCCAGTCAAAGGTCACTTGCTGGGGATCTCAGAAGTAGTTCGACGATATTCTTTGGGTCTTTCGGTAAAGCCTCAGCAGCTCTCCCGCTATATTTTTCACCTGATGACGATTGTTTGTGCTGTGATCAAAACGTCGTGATATTGTTATTATTTTATTATTTTTCTATCTACGTGGCTTTACCGAAAGACCCAAAGAATATGAATTCCTGCAGTCACGAAAGCTTTAAGTCTAGTTCTACGATATCCATTTCCATGGGCCACTCCCCAACGTGAATGGTCACCACTGCTCCACGAGCAGTCGGGGCAGAGAAACACATTGACAACAACAACAATAACATTTCCCGATGGTTGTAAACAGGAAGCTGGGTTGTGTGGTTAGTTGAGTGGCACAAGCTGCTGCGTCCGATGATGGCAATGCAGCACACCCCTCGCTGCAATAGAACACGGCCGGCTTGTTCCTCGTGAGTCTGCGAGACTCGTGTTGGTGGTCATTGACGGGCTTCTGTGTCTATCGGCAGCTGTACGAATGTCGGACCACGTCATCGACAAGTACGAGACGCTCATCCTGGTGGAGAAACGAAGGTACAAGCCCCGCAAGTGACCATGCACGGTGGCAAGGCACGCACGGTACAAGGCTGCTGCGGTGCCAGCACCACCGCACCAAAGATTTGTGCCACATGCAGGTGGCACCTCCCTCAGGCGGTGTGCCCGAGGCACCCGCCCTACCAGCCCCACCCACCCCACCCGCCCTGCCCCCTCCACCCCCCCAACACACCCCACTAGCCCCACCCACCCTGCCTCCTCCACCCCTCCAACACACCCCACTAGCCCCACCCGCCCCACCCGCCCTGCCCCCTCCACCCCCCAACACACCCTACTAGCCCCACCCGCCCCACCCGCCCTGCCCCCTCCACCCCCCAACACACCCTACTAGCCCCACCCGCCCCACCCGCCCTGCCCCCTCCAGCCCCCCAACACACCCTACTAGCCCCACCCGCCCCACCCGCCCTGCCCCCTCCAGCCCCCCAACACACCCTACTAGCCCCACCCGCCCCACCCGCCCTGCCCCCTCCACCCCCCCAACACACCCTACTAGCCCCACCCGCCCCACCCGCCCTGCCCCCTCCACCCCCCCAACACACCCTACTAGCCCCACCCGCCCCACCCGCCCTGCCCCCTCCACCCCCCAACACACCCCACTAGCCCCACCCGCCCCACCCGCCCTGCCCCCTCCACCCCCCCAACACACCCCACTAGCCCCACCCGCCCCACCCGCCCTGCCCCCTCCACCCCCCAACACACCCTACTAGCCCCACCCGCCCCACCCGCCCTGCCCTCTCCACCCCCCCAACACACCCTACTAGCCCCACCCGCCCCACCCGCCCTGCCCTCTCCACCCCCCCAACACACCCTACTAGGCCCACCCGCCCTGCCCCCTCCACCCCCCCAACACACCCCACTAGCCCCACCCGCCCCACTAGCCCCACCGACCCTGCCCCCTCCATCCGCCCAACACACCTCGTCACTCCCCCCCCCCGTACCCCCCACCGGTCGCAGGATGCTGTACGTGCAGAGCGACACGCGGCTCAACTTCGCCGCCTGGCGCCTGGCGCTGGAGAACGTGGCGCGGGGAGGGGGCCGCCTGCTGGCCGAGCAGCAGCTGCTGGAGGGAGACGTCCCCGTGGTGCTGGGCCGCTGCATGGAGTACATCACGCAGTACGGTGCGGCCCCCACGTGTTCGCACCGCCGCCACGCGCCGTGCACCTTGCCCGCGATAGAGGGGGGTCAATTCCAACCCTGACGGCCTGCTGTGTATTTGGAAGTCTGGACGTTCTCCCCTGAGTCGCGGCTACTTTGTCGGCGTGTCCTCCGCTGTTTCCCCCCCCCACGTTTGGCTGCTGCTGCGAATGTCCACGTGGCGATGAGCCGCTTCGTTGAGCAATCATTTGTGATGGCCGGGTCGCTTCTGAAAAGAGATCTACGTAGCTCGGTGGGCCTCGCCTGCTCAAATAACAAATAGCGTCGTTGAAATAGCCGAGTACACGTTTTTCGAACTTACCAGCCTTTCATACGCCGGATGCGCGTGCACCTGATTTGCGTTGTGGCCAGCTGTTCCTTCGCGCAAGAAGTCTCAAACACTTCCGCGTGCGCGTTCTCCAGGGCTCACGTCGGAGGGCATCTACCGCAAGAGTGGCACCAACTCGCGCACGCACGCGCTCCTCGCCGAGTTCTGGCGGGACGCGCGCGCCGTGCGTCTCCGTGAGGGCGAGCACTCAGTGGACGACGTCGCCAACGTCCTCAAGCGCTTCCTGCGCGAGCTGCAGGACGGCGCCGTGCCGGCCGGCGCTCGCCTCGCGTGGACACGAGCCGCCGCGGGTCGGTTGGCCAATACTCCCACCCAAGCACCGCCGCCCCCCCCCTCGCAGCAGCCCAGCACCCCCGTCTCTCGGCCCTCTCTGTCGCTCCGATTTCCAATCTGTTGCTCTCTGGCCCTGATTTTTGGTTGCATCTTCGCCGTTACGGTGATTCGTGTGTTCGCGCTTATTTCGTCATTTTATTCGAGCCGGCTCACTTGTGCAAACGAGCGTGCGAGGCGGCGGGCGAAGTCCCTCCGACTTCGGTGGCGAGTTCTGTGCACACGCCACGCAAACCGTTCGCCCTCCCCGTAGATCGAATTGAGAACCTCTCTCCCGGTCTCCGCTGGTCACGCTAAATAAGCTCGGACATGAGACACTTTCTGCTTCTCTCCCCCCCTGTGTGTCTCGATCTCATCCGTGATCCTTGTTGCGTCTCCATCTCTCTCTCCCTCCCTTGTCTCTTCCTCTTTTGCAATCACTCTCTCTGCACCTCCCCCTCTCCATGTATCTCTCTTCCTGCCTCGTTCCTCCGCACTTCTCAATCGCTCTCTTTACACCTCTCTGTCTTCTCTCTCTGTCTCTCTCCGTCTCTCTCTCCCTGCCTTGTGCCACCCTGGCTCGATTTCCACGCCTCTCTCCCTGCCTCTCGTGCTGTATCTCAACAATTTTTTGCATCCCACCTCCTGCCTCTCTCTCTCTCTGCATCGTAACATCTCTCTGCATCCCAACCCCCTCCCCGCTTCTCCCAGCCTCTCTCACTCCCTACCTCTCCTTCACTTTGAATCTCTCTCTATATTTCCCCATGCTTTCTCTTTTCTCGCACTCCTTTCCTCTCACTATTATCTCCCTTCTCCTATCCTCACCTCTTGCTCTCCCGGCTTCTGCTTTACCACGCACCTCTCTCTATTTGTCCCTGCCTCTCTTCCCACTCCTTCCCTGCCTCTCTCCCTGCCTTTCTCCGTTCTTCTGAATTTATCTTCCTTCCTCTCGGTTCTCTCATCTCTCTCTCCTCTCTCCCCCTGATCTCTTGCTCCCGCTCTACCGCTCTCCTCATCCCAAGAGCGTGAGCCACTTGAAAAGGAATCCTGAGACTCCGTGAGACGGTCATGGCTAAAGAATGACACCGTTGCCGTTGCGGTACATTTTATGATGGCTGTGTTTTTTTCATTTTTTGTGTAAAAACGCGAACGTTTTTGTCACGTGCACAGACATTCGAGACGATGGGGAACGGCTGCAGAGGTACAAGGAACTCGTGAAGGAGCTGCCGCACGTGAACCGCGCCACCCTGGCGGCTCTCATCGAACACCTCTACTGGTGAGAGGCAACTGGCAACACTGGGACATCTCCCCTCCACCCCCGCTGCCCCGCAATCAGTGGTACAGTCCAATGTCTTTCAGTGTCGCACGCATTGGCTTCTAAGTGCCGGACTGGACCATTAGCTAATCATGAGCGAGTGTTGTTCGTGTGCGAAAAAAAGACGGAATTGTGTTTTTGTTTGTGTCAACTAAAAAAGAAATTTGTCACTTTTTTTTGCTCCTGAATTTATCGCGATGGTGCTGTCGGCTTCGTAGCGGCGGGATGAGAGTGTCCGTCCGGAACTTTCGCAGAGCGGTGCAACTGCCCCGTGGTTCGAAAATGGCCTGCAGAAGCAGATTTCACAGAACTACTTCTGGGATCGCCTGAGCGAACATTTTTACGCACAATCTATCGAACAACTTTGGCCGCTATGTTTGTCACGTGAAAGTCAAAACTTAGAATTTATCCAGCCTAAGTTAAAATATCATATTATTATTATTATGGGTTTATTTGATGGTATTTTTTTTGCTTGAAACAGATCCCCGTTTAAAATGATAATTTATTGGCCAATGGGTTTTACCTGTGCCAAAATAAACCTCAATAAATCCTCACCTAAATCAACCTGCTACTCTTGAAAATCTCTGTTGAGTCATGGATGGCTGAATTCCAGATTCAAAATTCAAAACCGATGCGCTGATCCTTAGATTAAAATAGTGTCTTACACTCGTGATGCAAGCTTCAAATGAATGTGTGAATCGTCCTTTTTCAAAGGAAACGAGAATGCTTTACTTAGTCTAAGGAAGTTTTTAAAACTGCACAAACCGGACTGAACAAACAAGAAACCAAAAAAACAAACCTGTCAATATCGCTAGCCATGATCGTACCAATTCATATAATCGCTAGGAGTCGCAGCCCTACACAACGATGCACTCGCCAATGCCAATTTTGTTGCTGTTGTTTCCATCCCTGCTGCTGTTGTCGCTGATGCTGCTGCTGTTGCTGCTGCCCCTGTTGTCTTGCCATCACCGATGCCGCTGCTACCGCTGCGTCTCCTGCTGCTTCTGCTTCTAATTCTGCTGCGTCTCTTCCTGCTTCTGCTGATCCTGCTTCTAATGCCGCTGTGTCTCCTGCTGCTGATTCTCCTGCTGCTGCTGCTGCTACTGCTGCCGCCTCCACACCCCTTGCAACTCCCAACGCTGCTGCCGCCCCCCCCACCTTGCCTTGCCGTCGTCGTCGCCCGCGGCGACAGCGTGCAGCTCAACGCCAACTCGAATCAGATGTCGGCGCGGAACCTGGGCATCGTGTTCGGCCCGACGCTCTTCCAGTCGGAGGGCGCGAGCTGCGAGGAGGTTCACGTGGTGGAGGCTCTCATCAGCAACTACGACAGGGTGTTCGAGGTGCCGCGCTCACCCACAGTCCGTTACCCACAATCCCCCTCTGCTGCCTCCCCATTACCCACAACCGCCCTCGCCTCTCGCCCCATTGCTCATCGCTCACTCACCCATCATCCAGCCCTCACCCGCTCACCCATGTGAAGCCTTTCGCCTGCTACTGACAGCACCCCCTCACCTTTCACTGCACCTCCTCACCGGTCGGCTCCGTCAACTGTTACAGCATTGATGGCTCCGTCACTCATCGCTACTCACCGATCATCAGCATCATCATCACCAGCCATGATCTAACCACTACTGGATGAAGGCCCTCCCCCCTCACGGTCTCGCGATGCAACGATCCATCTCGCACCTGCGCACGAGCCGATTCCGTCGCTCCCCCCCCCCCTACCTTTACCGTAATTGTTGTAACCGTGATTGCCTCAACTCCGCCAGGTTGATGCGGAGCGTTTCCAGAACGTGCTGCGCGTGACCGAACTCATCATCAAGGGGTTAACGGTCAAGGTACGAGGAGACACCACCGAAAGAGGCGATGTATCATCAGCCATGCTATATGTCACTAATGCCTCGCCTCCTGTCGACTGGGACCCGGGCACAGCCGACCCAGTTTTGGCCCAGGTCTGGCTCAGTTTTGGCCCAGTTCTGGCTCAGTTCTGGCCCAGTTTTGGCCCAGGATGAAGGCAAACTAAACCAGGTGCTCAGGCAGAGCAGGCTGATGATCTTCGCCCAATCATCACTAACTACACACGCACACGCAAATATATATTTCACGTATTTGCCGTCTGAGGGCTATTGCGACTTGGTATTATTATTATTCCTCTTGCTTACCCAAGAAAGCCTCGCTCATGACTCTTTTTTTTTCAGGAGGGTCCTGTACAATGTTCACAGCTGGGGGACAACGATTGCCGTGCGCGGTCCCAATCGAGTAATTTGCGGGCAATGTTTTCAGACGTGTCAAATTTGGACCATGACTCCGGCACACAATGGCCGACCCATTTCGAATGACGTCACTGCATTTTCAGCATTCCACCGCGAAGCAGGCGGCGCGTAGCACCTCACAGTTGGGAATAACCGGGGCGGCCCACCGGATTCGAGCCACGAAGCTCGAATCCGAACGAACGCCCCGCGGCCGTGGCCGTGTCACCACCGCCCAACGGTCCCCGGATCGGTCGGTCGGTCGGTCTGGCGCCTCACAGGTTTTCGAATAGGTCAGGAGTTGAACCCGGCAAGGTCCTAGGTCTCAGACCCCTAATGTGGGGATAGATTGGGCCGGCGTGAGCCCGGTGCACCCACTGAGCCGGGTCGGTGCCCTCCGACAAAGTCGAGTTTTTGTCTGCCGTCGAAACTTAGCTGCTGATGCTGGTGGTGGTGGTGAGCACGGCATTTCGGTTTGATTAAATGTACGCAAGTCGTCATTTTGTTGTTGTTTTTGTTTTACAGCCACCTTCCGCTCAGGCTGGGAATTTGATCGTCTCGGTTTATTTTGAGAGGAAGAGCACGGACACCTGCATCAGCCTCAAGGTGCGCGTGAACGCGTCCCGCGTGACAAGGGGTGCGCGTGAACGCGTCCCAAGCAATGCAGAGCCTGCACTGGTGGCAGAGGGCGGTGCACGACGATCCGTTATCGCTGCACTGTTGGCTACATTTTCTGCCTTGGTTAACCCGGGTTGACCTTGGTTAATCCGGGTTGACTAAGGTCAAGACTAAGGCAGACCTGGGTTGACCGATGTGATCACTCGCACTACGTCTGTTCCACCTGGCCAGAGCATTTTTTATTATGCACATGCACTGCGTAACTTGAGCAAGTGTTTGAAGAAAATGTTAATCATAAAGTCTACATGTCGATTTAAAGCTTTCGTGACTGCAGGGATTCATCTTCTTGGTTCTTTTGGTAAAGTCACGTAGAATGGAAATAATAAAATAATGAAAATAAAACATAATAAAATAATTCTCACGACGTTTCGGCCGACCTGTTCTTATTGACAGACCTGTCGATAAGAACAGGTCTGTCAGAACAGGTCTGTCTTATCGACAGACCTGTTCTTATCGACAGACTTGTTCTTCACCTGAAGACGGCTGCTTGCGTTGTGGCCGAAACGTCGTGAGAATTATTTGATTATGTTTTTTATTATTGTATTATTTCCATTCTACGTGACTTTACCGAAAGAACCAAGAAGAATAAAGTCTACGTACATACGTACGGTGGCGTACATGTAAAGTGTGTCCTACTTGCGCTGTCCCGTGTCAGTGTGTAGAGCGGGCGGCTCGCAGTCAGAAAGGGATGCAAGTTCAAATCCTGTCAATCACGTTCACTTCTCTCTCTCGTAGTGCTGCGTGGCCGTGGGACCTGAGAGTTCATACTTGCCTGTGTGCGTCTATGCGTTGTGCGGCGTATGTGTTGTGCAATTGTGTGTGTGCATGTATGTGCTCTGTGTGTGCGTGTATGTGTTATGTGTGTACGTCTATGTGTTGTGCGTGTGTGTGTGCGTGTGTGTGTGTGCGTGTATGTGTTGTGTGTGTGTGTATGTGTTAGCGCTACGCTGCACTATGAACCCCCGGAACCCGAGTTCGATTCCCGCTCACGGCCAACACTGGTGACGATTATCTGAACCGGTCCCGGGCCTCCCCTAGGTCGACTCAGCATCAAATGAGTGCCTGGTGTGGGTGTATAATGAACATCGCCACTGGGGGAGACAAAGGAAGCGAGGTGTGGTGCCTGGCCACCGACCCTATCGTGTGCCATTCCGACACTTCATAGGTGCTCGCGAACAGTAAACGCCCTTCCAGTCTGGCTCACGGCTGTTTGTTTGGCTTGTGTTGTTCCCCAGGTGTCGGGGCTCATGACGGCACAGGAGCTGCTCCTGGAGGTGCTCGACCTCAGGGGGGGACAGCTGCAGCACAAAGACTCTGCGATGGCCGTGTTCGAGGTGTCTGGGGAGCTGGGTGAGTCCTCCCGCTATTAATATTATTATTGTTCATCCAATACAAATTTCGAGATTTAAAATCGTTCCCACAAGCGAACTTTTGGACGATTCAAACTAAGTGTGCGATAGTCTTCATGTGCGTGCGTCCGTGCGTCCGTGCGTCTACGGGGAGCGGTAGCGTAGCAGTTGACGCACTGTGATATGAACCCGGCAACCTGAGTTTGATTCCCATTCACGGCCAACACCAGTGACGAATATCCCGGGCCTCCCCTAAGTCGACTCAGCCTCAAATGAGTACCTGGTGAGACGTGTCAACGTCGACACTGGGGGGGGGGGAGACAAAGGCGGCAGGGCGTGCTGCTGGCCGCCCCACCCCCCTTCGTGTAAGCCTGTCGACCTTTGCAGGTGCTCGCGAACAGCTCTCGCCCCAACGGTCGGGTCGGGACAGACAAGCGATCCTCGCCAGAGGTCGCAACCGGGTACCCGATACTCGTACTCTACCCGATACCCGTACCCGTACCCGGCCGGGTACGGGTATGGGTACCCGTTTGCGACCCTGGTGTGGCCGGGTACGGGTAGGCCGTGAGTCACTGGTGAGTCACCGTTTGTCACTCATTTCCCAACGTCTTGTCTCTTCTCACAATTCAAGTTCCTAGAATCAACCCACCCGCGCCTGCAACATGGCTTCATCCCAGAGGTCGCAATCAGTTACCCGATACCCGTACCATACCCGGCCGGGTACGGGTAGGGTACGGGTACGGCCGGGTACGGGTATGGGTACCCGTTTGGAACCCTGGTGCGGCCGGGTACGGGTACGGGTAAGGAAACAAAACCCGCTTGCGACCTCTGACCCTCCGTGTGCCCGCAGAGCGGCCGCTGCACTACAAGGAGAGGGTCCTGGAACTTCTGTTCCACCCGGATCCGCAGGAGAACTACCTCCTGGTGAAGAGGCACCCCGACCTCGACGGGATGAGGCGCCACCTCGGTGAGGCCGTGTCCAAGGCCTCCTCCTCCCCTCTGCTGCATTGGCCGTGGCTCCGTCTGCTCAACTCTCCATCACCGTGGGCTCGGCTTGCGAGCGAGAAATTGCCCGCGCCCCTGACACCCTCCCCCCCCCTCCCGCCCTCTCCTCTTCACCTCTTCTCTGACCTCTGCCATCTCCGCTGCTCCATCTCGGTCCTCCCTGCCAGTGATGCATTTCATTCATTTCCCGGTGTTGCATTTCATTCATTTCATTTGTATTATTCACACGAGAATGACCAACTCTGCACAACGGAGGGCGGACTCCGTGCGCGCGCGTTTCATTGATTCTGCGATCCAGACGAAGAGAAATGAATCTACAGCCCAAGCATCGACTCAAAACCCACAGGTTGTTGTCGTCGTCGACGAGACGAAGCCTCGGCCTAAAACAAACACTCTGCTCCCCGCTCTCCCCATCCCTCTTAATCCCTATTCATCCCTCTCATTCCCCCTCATTCTACCCTCCCCTCATCCCCCCTCCCCTTCATCCCCCCCCTCACCCTCCACCCCCTCATCGCCCCCCTCATCCCACCCCTCCTTATCTCCCCCCCCCTCTTCACTATCCCCCGCCCCCCCCCGCTCGGTGCTCTCCGTGTGTAGAAGGGCGCGACAAGAAGGAGTGGCAGGGCCCCGTGCGCTTCCGGGAGGAGCGCAGCCTCCACGCTCTGCTCCCGCAGACCGCCAAGTTCAACGAGCGCTTCATGGCTCTCTGCGCCGGGAGGGTGCTCGTGTTCAAGGACAGGAAGGTGAGCCGTGGCGACGGGCAGACAGCAGCCCCCAACGGCGTGGCCTCCTCGTTTAAAGACGGAGTCGGGGGCGGGAGGAGGCACATACAATAACTCGGGTGGCTGCACGATACAGCCAATGGTAGAGAATCTTTAGAGCGGTGGATCTTCTTAACCTGGGGGTCCACACTGCACCCCCTGGAGGTGCGAGATGCCCTTTCTGGCGGAGTGGGACATGGCGAGGTTTTTTTAAGAAGGAAAATCATCAAAACACAAATTAAGCACCAGCACTTGAGTACTATTTTGTTTCATCAAACCCTGTGTAGTTATTAAACATTTTTTGTTACGATTGAGAACCAGAGGGGTGCAAGGCCGCAGTAAAGGTCAAGAACCACACTGCTTTAGACAAATGTCAGGCTGAAAGATTCACGACGCGATCTGCCGTTGTCCGTCGCGCGTTCTGCTCTCTCGTCTCACCCCCCTCGTGGATGACGGAGGGCTGGGACCACCACGCACAACTGCAAGGCGGTTACATTGTCATCGTCATTGTCGCTTTGACACTTTCTTTGAAATTCTGCACGAGATTTTCGAGATGTTAATCGAACGTGCATGTGTGTGTGTGCGTACTTTCAATCGTCAGACCAACAAGGCGGAGAGGGATTGGAGCCTGCAGACGGTGAAGACGTTCCTGGGAATTCGGAGGAAGCTGAAACCTCCCACGAGGTGGCCCCTCCTCATTATCATTACACTCACAAGTTGAATAGTGTCCCCAATTGTACGTTCACTTACGCTGTCATTGTGTGTGATGCTCTCACGAGACACGGTCCCTGCAATGTAACTCCCTCTAAAGTGGCTTCAATAACTTACTCAACTATGTTATTTTACCAGCTGAAGCCCCGCTGAGACATCAGCTCTTTTGCAGTGGCGACTTGGCCGCACGTGATAGCTATTATTTTTTCTATTATTTATTATTATTTATATTTTACCTACGTAACTTTACCGAAAAAACCTAAGAGTACGTGATAGCTCATTGAAGTGGCTTATATCAAACGTGCGCGTCGGGAAGCCATCCCAGAATTCCACGCGTACGCGTGATTTTTACTCCTTGTTTTTTTGTTGCGCGTGTTTATTGTTTATTATTCTTCTTTTTTATTCTGCGTCGCAGTTTCGGGCTGACCCTGGTGCAAGACAAACAGCGGTGGTGAGTACGGCACACCTCTAACCCTTGCACCCCCGTGGGTCATCCCGGGACGAGACTCGTTCCATGGGGGAATTTGGGGGGGGCGGGGCTGTCATTACGATGACATCACGGGTTTCTCGGCGACGCTGTTCATCATCGTAGGCCGTGATCTGTCCACTGCTGGATGAAGGCTTCCCCAAGCTGTTTACCCTCCGTCGTCATTTCCTATCTTATCCAGGTTTATAGAGCGCCTTTATCCCAAGGTGCTTTACAGCAGTTATGAAATTGTACGTAAGATGATCGTGGTTTGAGACGAAGTGTGGGGGTTATTAATGATGTAGTTATGGTGATAGGAGAACAAGTGGGAAAGGTTAAGGGAAGGGTTTGGGGTGTTGGTAGGGGTAGGGGTGGTGGGTAGTGGTGGGGTAGAGGTAGCTGACAGGGGTTGGGGTAGGCCTGGTCATCGCTGAGGGGCAAGGGGCAGGGAGTGGCAGCAGTGTCGGATGGGCTCGGGGAGAAGAGATGGTGATTGTTTTAGAGGAGCAGTGGAAGCGGGTTATAGGTAAGATGCTCGTTTTGGGCAAGTATCCGTAGAGCTGCTGTCCCCGCGTGCTCGTCACGTTGCTCCACTGTGCGCGTGTTCCCCCGTGAGTGCCGCTCGACGCTGGCCAAACGTTTGTTGGCGAGTGCCACGAACGTGGACGTGAATCTCGGTGAGCAAAAATAAAAAATAAATGTATTTTGTACGTGTGGCCGTTTGTTTTCCGCGCCAGGTTTCTGTGCTTCGACAGCCACCAGGAGCAGTGCGACTGCCTGGCTACCATGCTCAACTTGAAGGTACCGGGAGCCATTCTGAGTCGGTGTCCTTTAACTAAAACTATAAACATTTTTTTTTTATTTCACTAAACTATTTGTCATTTGCCAGAAAAGGCCCACTGGGCTGGCTATACAGCTCTTTTTCAGAAGCAACCCGATAAAATATGAATGTCTCTTCTTTCGAATGTATGTTGAACTTCTTTCACACCACACGTAGCCGACCATGCTAATTGGAGGTATGGCTTATTACGTGGAAACTTATAGCAGCCATATACTCTTAAATGCATGATTCTAAATGTGGAGGGAAAAACCAGAGGACCCACAAAACACCCAGGCAACTATGGGAAGATACTCTTTGGTTCTTTCGGTAAAGTCACGTAGGTGAAAAAATAAAATATAAAATACATTCTTTTTTTTTTCCACCTACGTGACTTTACCGAAAGAACCAAAGAGTATGGATCCTTGCAGTCACGAAAACTTCAAATCTCAATTATGGGAAGAACATACACACTCCAAATATACAGCAGGTTGTATGGGTTGGGATTGAACCCACGATCTCCTGGATACCAAGCGAGGTCATAAACATCTCGCCGCGTCTTTATGAGCGAGAATAACATGTCGAATTGATCACCCACGACATATCATTGTCCAGAAAATCCGCTTTTGTGCAGAGTGCTTTGATGGGGTGAGTGAGTCATTGCATTCATTGTTACATCCCACCTCATATGAAACTGGATCAGAAACACCGGATTGCAAGGTGCTCCGGTGAGTTCAGGTGAGGTCAAGTTGTTTTTTTTCAACCCAGGTGAGAGCTCAAAGAGCCTCATTTTACGAGTGCGACCCTGATCACCGAAATGACAGAAGCAAAAACAAAGCAACTCTCCAGCTGTTATGAGTTACAATGAAAACAATGTAAATACAAATTAATTCTCAAGCCACCAATGGATAAAGGCGTACCACTCACAACTGATGTCAGGCATGGACAGGAACCAAGCAGCTTTCGAATTGTATAGCCATATACGCGGGTCATCAAATCGTTCCGGATTCCTCTCAATTCTCACTGCGCTCTCTCCCGTGCCCGCCTGACCCCCCCCCATACCACCCCATCCCACGCGCCTCTCTACCACCGGCAGCACAAGGGCGACGTGTGGCCTCCCGACGGCGACTTCCGCTGCCGCACCTCCTCCACGACCCAGAAGCTTGGCAGCCAGGTTCTCATCCCCCTGCGGGGCAGCGATTTGCACCGGCTGACGCTCACCAACAGCATGGCCTTCAAGGAGCCTGTACGGCGATTGCCACACGATTGATCGCACGCTCGCACGCACCAAACGCGCGTGGGACGCGCACACACCACGCACACGACTGCACGTATGCACGCACGCGACGAACATGTGTGCACACATCACAAAGACAAAGATTCCCCCCCTGTATGGCCTTGACAAACTCTCGGGGCAAGTGCAGTTAGCGAGCACCTATGAAGGCCACCGGCATTGCACACAAGGGGGTGGGTGGCCAGCACTACGCCCGGCCGCCTTTGTCTCCCCAGTGGCGATGTTTACACACACCGCCCCAGTTACTAATCTGAGTCGATCTAGGGGAGGCCCAGGACCGGTTCAGTTGATCGTCACTTGTGTTGGCCGTGAGCGGGAATCGGAAGGGGTTTGTAGCGCGGCGCGCTAACCGCTACACCGCCGCTCGTCAGGCACATGTGTACGTGCATGACTGCACGTACAAATGCAACGAACGCACACGTATGCACAGAGACGGACGGACGACCTTTGACTCACCTGCGTACTGGGTCTGCGTACTGTCTCTGCGTGCTGTGCGTGCTGTGCGTGCTGTATGTACTATGCGTGCTGTGCCTGAGTGCTGTGCGTGCTGTGCGTGCTGTGCGTGCTGTGCGTGCTGTGCCTGTGTGCTGTGCCTCGACTCGCGTTGAAATACAAATCGTTGTCACATGCCGCACGCAAACTAATCATCACTTGACCCTTCCCATTTTGGCGTCGTTGACGCACGTACGCATGCGCACCCGCACGAGCTCCGTCTAAATCCGAATCGACGACCTCCACTTCGCGAAATCAATCGCCCGGCTCCTTCCGTGGTACTCGAAATGTAAACCGGTGTGCTCGGGAACACGTGTGTATGGGAATGGAGTTTCAGAAACGTTGGCTTTGGCGAGGTGGCGAGGAAAAATACCCCGACGGAGTTCACAGTGGCAGTCCCCCCGATATCCCCAACTCTCCCTCCAGCCTCCAGTCGGTCATCATCCTTGCTCCGTTTGAATTCTCGAGGGTCTCCTCGACATTTATCGTACTTTCCTTACAAAATGTTTCGCTTCTTCGCAAGTCCTGTCAGCGTTTTGTCTCTCGGTATGTTTTTGTTGAACTTTTTTTATAAATCTTCAAGCGTTTTCGTTACCAAAGAAAACGGCCCGGCACAGTTAAAGTAAATAAAAATTACTATTTTATTTGACCAGGTAAGAAGGCCCACTGAGCTACGAAGCTCTTTCTCATAATCAACCTGGCAATCACAAACGATAGCTCAACGAAGTGGCTTATCACGTGGACATTTATAGCAGCCAAACACTCTAAACGCGTGATGTTGATTCTAAATGTGGAGGGGACAAGCTGGAGTACCCGGAGAAAAATCCACGCGACCCACAGGTGAAAGCATGCAAACTCCAAATATACAGGTGTCGGGATCGAACCAACGACTTCCTGCGTACCAGGCGAGGGAGATAACATCTTGCCACCGCGGCTCAGTGGTTACGATTATCATATTCTTTGGGTCTTTCGGTAAAGTCATGTAGATGGGTTCAAAGAAAATAACAAAAAAACTACGACGTTGCGATCGCAACGCAAGCGATCGAAACATCGTTTTTTGGTTATTTTTTGTTTTTTCTTTGAACTCGTCTACGTGACTTTACCGAAAGGCCCAAGGAATATGAATTCCTGCAGTCACAAAAGCTTTAAGTCAAGATTTACGATTATCATTTCAGAGCCTGCTCTGAGAAGCACAGCACAGCTCTGAGCTCGGTGACCCACACAGGTAAACGTAACCTTTGACCCGAAGTGATTCCGTCTGCCCCGGCACCAGCCCCTCCTTGCCCGAGGTTTATTTACAAATTGCTGCTTTTCCATGGGCTCTAAAACAGTCTCGTGGTTCTGCGGGCTGAGCCAACTTCCCTCCGTTTGCGCCTGCGGGTGGAGGGAAAGCGACCGTGACCTTTGAAAAATGTTCACAGATTGACGTGCATGTGGGTTGGGTTACTGTACACCCCATTGCAATGTCATTATTTTTATATTCTTGGTTCTTTCGGTAAAGTCACGTAGGAAGGGAAATAATAAAAAAATATAAATATAAAACAATAAAAATTCTCACGACGTTTCGACTGCAACACAAGCAATCATCATCAGGTGTGAAATCCACAGATGATGATTGCTTGTGTTGCAGTCGAAACGTAGTGAGAATTTTTATTGTTTTATATTTATATTATTTTATTATTTCCCTTCTACGTGACTTTACCGAAAGAACCAAGAATACGAATCCCTGCAGGCACGAAAGCTTTAAATCAAAAAGTCATTATTTTTGTTTTCATTATTCACGATATTTATATATATGTGTGTGTATAAAAACGTGGATCTGAAGTGAACCTAAGAGAGAAAAGATGCATTTGAACAATCCTTTATCTGTTCTGCTCCGACCCCGTGATGTTACGACCGTCTACAACGGCCCTCTTGGCAAAACGAGAAACTTTGCCTGGGCCAAGCGACACGCGTGGCCCGGTTAAAAGCTCGCTTGGTGGACAAATCTGCCACAGCAACCCGTGCTGGGCCCACCTTCCCGGTCCACGGACCGAGACAGCCGACTCTTTAGTGGGCGTTGGGAACGCAGCAAATGTCAGGGCTCTCGGACAGCGGCCTCAATCGGGGAGTTGTAGGTTGCATGATATAGAAATGGTTACTGATTTTTTTTTTTGACTCGTTGCATGGAGCTGCGTCGTCACCGTGCTGTGCTTGTGCCGTAGCGCTGCGCTGCTCTGCGCTTCTCCGCTTCTCCTCCACGCTTCTCCTCCACGCTTGTGGCCTGCTTCCACGTGCGTGCATTTCTCTGCCTCCACTTAATTTGCTGTGCGCGTGGTCCTTGCCCCCCTTACACTCGCCGTAGTTTAAAACGAGCACTCCACACTCCTGACAATAACCGCCGTGTACGTCCCTTGCCACCGCGTGTGCTGTCGTTAAACCTCCTGCTGGCTCTGACTGCGTGAATGTGCAAAGTTGATTTCGAAGTATTTCCGCAGCAAGGGCACACGAAGTGGGCCTTGCACTTTTGCCGACCCGGTGTTCGCAAGGCAAATTGCGTGGAAGTGAAACTGCGTGTTTGGCAGTGCATGAGCCCGCAAGCTTGTACTTACTGCTTCAGCCATCCCTAACAGAAACACGTTCCCTAATAACAAGGAAATTCCATAACCCAAATCTTAACATTGCTTCTAGATTTGAAGCTTTCGTGACTGCAAGGATTCATACTCTTAGTTTTTTCGGTAAAGTCACGTAGGTAAAAAATGAAATTAAAATTAATAAAAGTAATAATAGAAATAAAATTATAAAAATCACGACGTTTCGGAGGCAACACAAGTCTCCGTCATCAAGTGGGACCGTCACAGCTAGATTTCCTGTATCAGGTGGGACCGTCACAATCTAGCTGTGACGGTCCCACCTGATGACGGAGACTTGTGTTGCCTCCGAAACGTCGTGATTTTTATTATTTTATTTCTATTATTACTTTTATTAATTTTAATTTAATTTTTTACCTACGTGACTTCACCGAAAAAACTAAGAGTACTTAACATTGCTGCTGATTTTTGCATTTGTCCCACGGTTGTTTGTCCTCAGCTGTGCCCGCTCGTCTTGCAAGGGAGACAAGAGAAGGTGGCTCAGAGGGGCCCAGGCCACTGTTGAGGTCCTTGGTTCGAATCCGGGGTTCAGACACCCGTGGTTTGGACCGGGTTTTTAAGTGTAGCAGTGAGTTGATAGTCCTCAGCTCGGTCGCCAATGATTGCAACATTTTTTTTCACCGTAATTTAACGACATTCAGGCTCTGACAAATCTGAAAAAATATTAGCTTGACGGTTATGCAGTGGACATTTCTCTGCAACAGAGCGTGTGGGAGAGTGTGGTGCCCCCTGGTCTGCAGAGAAAGGGGTTCACTTTAAAGGATCTCAGAATTAGTTACGTGAAATCTCCTTCTTACAGACCATTATCTGTCGAAGGAGATATCACAACGCTCTGCGAGCGATGCAAATTGTCACCTCATCTCATGGTCGATGGCATCGATGGCACAATTTAAACGAGATTGTGGGGGGGGGGGAATACAAAATCTCCCTGTAATAATAACAGATAAATGGAAATGTAATTTTTCAACTCAAACTTTTAATGTTTTTTTTGTTTTTCTCAGGAGAACCCAACTGCGGACGAGGACGACCCCCCCCTGGCCGCACCGTGGCCCCAAGAGAACGGCAAGGCCGCCGCACTCCCCGAGCCCCGCGCGGCCCTCACGCCCCCCTCCCGTCAGGACCAGGTGGCCGCCAGCGCAACCCACGCTCCGCTGCTGCCGCCATCCTCCCGTCAAGGCCAGGTGGCGGCCTCCCCGGCCCCGTCCCCGCCAACGCCGCCGGGCCTGCGCCCGCAGCACAAGGTGCTCATGCCGAGCCCGGAGCAGCCGCAGCAGCTCAAGTGTTCGGCGTCGAGCGAGCTGCGCCAGGCGGGCCGGGCCTCGCCGGTGACCCCGGAGCCGGCTCAGCAGGCGCCCCCCACGCCGAAACCGCGGCAGCAGCTCGCGAAGAAGTCGCCGCCCGTGCAGCCGGCGGGCGCGGGGCCAGGACAGAGGCCGGCGGTCGCGACCCAGACGCCCTCTGCGGAGCCGTTCAGCCCCGTGTGGCCTCAGGCCGCGGGGCCGAGGGTGGAGAGACACGTTTCCGTGAAGCTCGACGGTCAGTTTGCGATCGACCCGGTCACCGCCCAGAAGAAGAACTTGCACTTTAACGTGATGCACGAGCTGAGCTCGTTCCTCAAGCAGGCCGTGGAGCTGGAGAACGTGGAGAGCAGCGAGGCGTGACGGCGCCGTCCGCGCCCAAGCGGCGGGTCCGTACCTCGGCTCCCTCTGCCTTGTTGTGTTTTTTTCTTCAACGATCCGGCTTCGTCCTCTTCACCTCACAGCACCGCCCTCGGCACTGCGCGGCTCTTGAGACGTCGCGAGGCAACGACGCCTCGAGGTGGCTTCCCCACGCCGCCCTCGGCGGCCGTCGTCTGGTCGTCCAAGCGACGCCATTGCAGGACACATTCGAACGTCGAAGCCCAGGACAATGAAAGTGTGGCCCCACGGCCTTTTTCTTGCGGAAGCAGTCAGCGGCGTTGTTCTCCCGTCGGATGCGTTGCGAGGTATTTTGTTCCAATGCTGCGGGTGTGCATGTCAAGACACTGTTGTGCACCGGAACAAAAAGCACGCGTCGCTTCTGTGCAGCAGAACGGCAGCAAGCGATGCATTTTTGTACGAGAAAAAAATAACATGCAGTGCTGTCACAATAGCGGTGTCCGTTGCAGATGCACCTCCAGCGGTGGGGGGTTCAAGCAGACCCCGGTTAATGCTGCAGTGCTGTGAAGTTTCCTCCGCATTGCGTGGCGTTCGATATCGTGCCTTGACTCTCCGCGGTTAGTTAACGTGACCATACTTCGCCGTGCAGGTCACCGTGGATTATGTAAAGGTAGTGCGGGGCCCACGGAGAAACGTCGCCCACTCGCCTGTTTTAGGTGCACGCAAAAAAAGACAAAGAATCCCCCCTCCCCCGCACACAGCCACGTGGCATAATTATAGAGTGTGAGGGCAAAGTGCTGTTAGCGAGCACCTGCTAAGGGCCGGCACGTCGCACGAGGCATTGAGCGTGGCCAGTGTCACGCCCGGCCCACCGTAGTCCGCCCCGCGCTGACGTTCGCGCGCTCCATCACCGTCCACCGATGTTACCCGTGGCCAGTCAATCGAAGGTCGTCGGGTGTGTAACACCGCAGTGCCCCTCCCCACCACTGCGCCACCACTCCACTCGTCAATTTATTAAGAGAAATAACACCGACGCCGCTGCTGCTGCATGGAACTTGCCCATCTCTCCCTGGCGATGAAGGTCGTCGCCCAAACAGGTGGCACTTTTGAAGAAGAAGAAAAAAGTGTCTGGAATTTAGTTCGTAATTCTCGTTGTTTTGGTCGCACAGGGTTACACCATTCTACGCGGAGCGTTTGAGTGCCCGTTACCCTCTCGTTAGGGTGCTTTGGTCCCTACGCTGCAGGGTTGGCGCAGTGTTGACACTCGTGCCTCACAGCTAGAGGGGAACCTGGGTTCAATTCCTGACCCCAGGTGCCTTTCTCTGTGGAGTTTGGATGTTCTCTCCCCCCCCCCCTGTTTTGCGTGGGATTGCTCCAGATTCTCGAGTTTCCTCCCAGAGCTAAAAACATTCATTGGTGTTGGCCAAACAGCCCAATGTAGCAGGACCCTCCTAACAAAGACTCTTAGGACTCTGTGTGTCTTTTCCTGAGTGGATGGATAATTGGGTTCTTTTTGTTAATGGCCAAAGATCCCAATGTAGCAGGAACTTACGGGAAAAAAATAGTATTTTGACACTCGGTGAGACTTGCCTGGATATATTAGAAGTACATTTTATACGAATCGGGGGCCCTCGCTATGGCCACGTGGCTTTTCATTTATCACGGAGCAAAACAATCAAGGCCAGTTTGGCCCAAAATAATAACCGCTGGCAAACGCTTATCGGTAACAGACAATATCACGGCGAACAGTAAAACACGGCGAAACAGGAGACGAGCCGAAACAATATGGTGTGCCGGGCAGCGTAGGCAATGGAGGTTAAAGTTACAATGATCGTGCTGCCAAGTGCCAACTGCCGTGGCGGTGCCATCCTGAACATTGGGGCCGAGAGTGGCAGCAGAGGCCACTGTCCGGCGAGGACTGCTCCACCAAACCGAATGCCTACTCGCCGACGCAACGGTGAGTAGGCAAAACGTGTTCTATTACAATTTGTTTTGCCAATAAGCTGAGATGGGTTCAAGTCGTCTGGCACTTGGTTGTGGCCATGAACTTGCGTCGTATGAAAAAGCTGGACGTATGCAAGTATGCTGATTGTAGCATAGTCTATTGCTGTGGCGTGAGGGTTTTATGTAAAAAATGTAAAACTTGTTAATACTGTCGTTGTTTCCCCGACGTGTTTAATACTGTACTAAATATGCTCACTTTTTTACCGTTTTTTAAAGAGGCTTTTGCACCATTTTGTAATGCTTAAAAGATCATTTCTTTCGTGATCGCCGTGACGTTTTTCTTCTCTGTGTAATGCCCCCTAACTCCCATTTTCTTTCTTCGAAAGTCAATAAAACGACACAAAAAAATCGAGCCAGCGGTCCAAGCGCCTTTTATTTATCGTCATCGCGATGCGTCGTCTCTTCAAAGCCACGGGGGAACAAAATACAAATCTTTGAGAACGGATTCCTTGAAATTATTTGGAAGAAACACAAAACAAGAAACACAAAACAAGAAACACAAAACAAAAAGATAAAAGGGCACGACGCTCGTCCGTCAGCTCGTCGGCCGACGCGGCGGTCGACGGCGCGTCTCTGGTCAAATCGCCGGGTGCGGCTTTCACGCTCTCATCTCGCCGTCCGCTCTCATCTCGCGATGTCCTTCAGCTCCGGGAGGTTTCCCACCTTCAAGTCGAGCAGCATCTGGCCGAGAGCTTTGCCCTGCAAAGGAACGGGACGCGCACGTGTCACTCGCCTATGGGTTTTCCGGGTTATACCACGCGCTGTTGGGCGCAATGTCCGACGTTCCGCTCCGCGCGCCAGGAGGAGAGAATCTCAACACGCGGTTGCGACGCCGCCGCCCACCAAACAATCTCCGGAGAGCTACACTGCGCGTCGATTGGCCGGGAGATGAATCAATCGCTACGTGCCTCGTGGACATTGCTAATTTAATTTCTCTAGAACTGCTTTTTTGTGTTTAGCTTAGCACAGTTGGTTACGCGGCGTGCGAAAGAAGTTCAACATCCATACGTTCTGCGCGTTGCACGTGCGGCCAATGACCAAATCGCCTGGAATGTGCCCAGAGATCGGAGAGCGAGTAGCGCCAAGCCTGGGTTAGTGCTTGGACCACGACGCCAACAGGCCGTCGTGGCCAGCTGTGGGGCTACGTGGTTGCGCAGCGAAGGTTCAGCTTCGGCAACGTTCGTTTTTGTCACGGGCTTCGGTGTTCTCGCATCAATGCGCTCCCCCCCGCCGCCATCGCCAACCCGTGCCGACTGATGGTGGTGGTGAAATATGGTAGAAATGAAAAAACAACAAAGCCATGACTCAACGGCATGGGGTGGGGCCCTCGCCCAGCGGTGGATTGGCGAAAGGGCCGGTGCGTGTGCGTGTAGCAGACCGTCTACCCATTGGAACCTCCTTTGCCAGTAGCAAAACATGACAACTGCCCCTTCACCCTTTTATCTGGCAACAAAACTGACACCGTTTTTACAAGGAGTCATGTTTGCATTGACCACAATACCTGCGGTCGGAATGCAAACAAAAAACACAACTCTGATAATGTATGCACTGTCCTTGAAGTTGATTGGTCCACACCCGAGACAGCTTTTCTCAGAGCCTAGTCTCACATGGAGACATGGTCCAACACCAGTGGAGACTAGGCTCTAAGGAAAGCTGTCTCGGGTGTGGACCAATCAACTTCAAGGACAGTGCATACATTATCAGAGTTGTGTTTTTTGTTTGCATTCCGACTGCAGGTATTTTGGTCACTGCAAACATGACTCCTTGTAAAAAAGGTGTCAGTTTTGTTGCCAGATAGAAGGGTGAAGGGGCAGTTGTCAGACCGTCTACCGTTCCGCCAGTAGAGCAATGACCGAGCTTTGCGAGGGCACACTCGGATGGCTTTCCACACGCGCCACACACCCGGCGACCCAGCTTTAAAATGATTGCTTGGCAGTTTAACCTTATCACCAAGGTACCAAATTTTTATTTAAAGCTTTCGTGACTGCAGGGATTCATATTCTTGGTTCTTTCGGTAAAGTCATCACGTAGAAGGGAAATAATAAAATAATATAAATATAAAACAATAAGAATTCTCACGACGTTTCGACTGCAACACAAGCAATCATCATCAGCGTTGGATTTCACACCTGTTGATTTCACACCTGATGATGATTGCTTGTGTTGCAGTCGAAACGTCGTGAGAATTTTTATTGTTTTATATTAATATTATTTTATTATTTCCCTTCTACGTGACTTTACCGAAAGAACCAAGAATACCAAGGTACCAGTGAGTTACCTGGGTTCACCCCCGGGGTGTCTATGCGTACGCGACTTTGTGAACCATTGTGGGGTTTAACACATAGGCTTTCGCGACCAATATCATCCATGAGAGGTTTTTTTTGGGTTAGATCGCTTAAATATTTAAATGTGTCGTTAAACCCACCACCACCCGACACAGCCAACTAGTAAGGGTTGTCACGTAAACAGAACGTGGACAATTCGTCACTAGTTCAGCACACTGGTGTGTTGGACAAAACAAGCCACAACATTTACAATCCGCGCTGCGCTACGAATACATCGACCCCAGTTCCGATTCCCGCTCAGGACCAATAAATGGTGAACTGGTTATGGGCCTCCCCTAGATCAACTCGGCCTTAAAGTAGACATCACCACTAAGCAGACAAAATGCGGCCAGGCGTGGTGCTGGAAATCTCCCCCGATGTGCCGTACTGGCCTTCGTTAAAGGTGCTCGCTCACAGCACCTGCCCCAACAGTCTCTTGAGGCTATACACGAGGGGGGGATCTTTGTGTTTGTGTGCAGAAGAGCGCCCGGAGCCACGTTCCCACCTGGGGGTCGCTGCGGAGTGACGTGATTCCTCCGCCGCCCAGCGCCTCCCGCAGGACGAAATTCAGAGCGTGGATTCCTGGCAGCTCAAACCTGCCCGGGGGACAGATGGAGAAAGAGACAATGAGGAGGATGGAGGGCAGTGGGTGGAGGAATCGGGATGATGATGATGATGGCACGAAACGTCGTATGCTAGTATTTAATTTATTATTTTCTCTTTACACGTGACTTTACCGAAAGAACCAAAGAGTAATTCCTGCAGTCACGAAAGCTCCAAATTAAGTATGATGATGGCAGTTAAGGGCAGAATGAAGAACGGTAAAATATCAGTGATCACGCTTTGTTTCGTGATGCGTAGACCAAGCACAATTGTGGTTTATATACAAAAATATATATATAAATGACTTTTTTTTTAAACACGCTTTAATGAAATGTACCGTACGAGTAATGGCAGAACTCCACGACTCCAGGAAGTGGCCCCGAAGCTTGCCATAACGTAAGGGGCCGTGTTGATTTACAGCCAACGTCAGTTGAGCGTGGACAATTAGACCCAAGCCGAAACATAACATATAAAAATTAATGTTTAAAAATACTTTTTTATATATATAATATAGTATTGTTATCAGTATGACATAAGTATACAACGTTTGCAGTCGATACCACATTGGGAAGTGGGTTAAAATTTAGTTACAAGATTTGAGGATACGACAACGACGACAACAACAGACAGAGTGGGTTAAATAAAAGCGTGTAAAAATATATACGTAAAATTACGGACGTTTTGTCAAGACATAGAACAATACGTTAGGAAGTCTCACAGAGCTGTTCGGCGCTACGGGTCAGAGGACGGCCACGGAAGCGATATTTCACCGAAAAATCCTTCAGGTGCCATTTGTATCCTTTACACAGCGACGGCTGTGTAAAGGATACAAATGGCACCTGCAAGGTGGTCGCATTCAGTCAAACCGATACAGTCGATTCTGGAATTTGGCCAAATCAAGCGCATAACCAAACTTTAAAATATATTTTTACGTTGCGGCTATTGGGTGACCGGACTGAGAGCCATCGACTCTCGCGAGCGCATGTTTAATCACGGACGGCCGAAGCCTGGATTCGAACCCGAGATCTCAGCGGAGCCGGCTCGAAGCTCTCACATTTGAGCCACCCGGGGAACTCGACTAACTTCCCCTCTGTTCGACCTCCGGTGGCAGCAAAGCGATCCGGCGACCTTCGAAAATGTTGGCACAGTTTGCATGTGCGTTGAACTTCTTTCGCACCGTACGTAGCCAACCGTGCTAATTGGAGGTGTCCGTAGGTTAGGTTTCTCCATCCCAAGAATTTTTTTTTTCTAAAAAGGTGCATCTGATGTTGGCCTCAGAGAAAAAAAGATTCATGTGAGCAAACTTGCATCTATTCCGCTCTGACCCCCCCCCCCCACCATCATATCACGACCGTCTCCAAGGGCGGCCCCGGGTTGAGAAAGCATAGTCCCCTTAGTGACAAAGAGCCACATGTCACAAGGTAAGTTAAACGCACAGCCCAGTTGAAGGTTGCGTGGCGGATTTAGCTGCCGCCAAAACCTGCGCCCAATTACGCAAGTTGCCATAACAAGCAAACGTGGACTGCACTGTACAAACCGTGTCGGTCGGACAGCTTTAGCTTTGTGTCTATCGGAGTGGAGGTATGCGTCGTCGCGTGCTCAATTTCTGCTCGCAGATTTCCCTAAAAAGGCTTCTGCAATTTTTTGCTAAAAATGTACTTTGCGAATTGTATCGCACAGGCACAAGTATTTCGCCGTGGTTTTCATTTCCCCCGGCATAGAGAACCTCGCTTGAACCGGCGAGAAATTCACCACAGTCGCTCTCATAGCCACAAGGAAGCCGGGTCCGGGCACCAAGCCATCCCTGGGCCACAGCACTGAGTGAGTGGGTAGTGGGTGGGTGGTGGGTGGGCGGTGAGTGGGGGTTGAGTGGGCGTTGAGTGGGCGGGCGGTGAGTGGGTGGGTGGGCGGTGAGTGAGTGGGTGGCGAGTGGGTGGGTGGGTGGCGAGTGGGTGGGTGGGCGGTGAGTGGGTGCGTGGGTGGGTGTGCGGTTTAGTGGGTGGGTGGGTGTTTGGGTGGTGTGTGGGCGGTGAATGGGTGGGCGGTGAGTGGGTGGGTGGGCGGTGAGTGGGTGGGTGAGTGGGTGGGTGAGTGCATGGGTGAGTGGGTGGGTGGGTGAGTGGGTGGGTGAGTGGGTGGGTGGGCGGTGAGTGGGTGGGTGGATGAGTGGGCGGTGGGTGGGTGAGTGGGCGAGTGGGCGGTGGGTGGGTGGATGGGCGGTGGGTGGGTGGATGGGCGGTGGGTGGGCGGTGGGCTGGTGGGCGGTGGGTGGGCGGTGGTGGGCGGGTGAGTGAGTGGGCGGGTGAGTGAGTGGGTGGGTGAGTGGGTGGGTGAGTGGGCGGTGGGTGAGTGGGCGGTGGGTGAGTGGGCGGTGGGTGGGCAGTGGGTGGGTGGACGGTGAGTGGGTGGGTGGGCGGTGAGTGGGTGGGTTGGTGGGTGGGCGGTGAGTGGGTGGGTGGTTGGGTGGGCGGTGAGTGGGTGGGTGGGTGGGCGGTCGCTGGTGGTGGGTGGATGGTGGGTGGATGGGTGGGTGGATGGACGGTGGGTGGGTGGGTGGATGGTGAGTGGGTGGGTGGGTGGGCGGTGAGTGGGTGGGTGGGCGGGTGAGTGGGTGGGTGGGTGGTGAGTGGGTGGGTGGGCGCTGAGTGGGTGGGTGGGTGGGCGGTCGCTAGTGGTGGGTGGATGGTGGGTGGATGGGTGGGTGGATGGACGGTCGGTGGGTGGGTGGATGGTCTCGCCTGCTCACGGCTGGGCCCGCCGCTCCGTCGCCGAGGTGCTGGAAGTATTTTTGCACGACGCTCGCCGTGAGTCGCGCCTTGAGGTAGGGGTAGAGTGCTGGGTGCCGCGCGATCACCCCTACAGGCACGACGACGAGGTTACGTGATGAAGCGTCGATTCACTTTTTAAACGCACGCCACGCGTGCATTGAATTGTACGCGCGAGCAGTGTTGACGATTTTGGAAAATAACGTGAAGGTGCTTTTAACGGAGGTTTTTGCGACAAATATTATATTGATTACATTTTTTTTTTACGGGTTACATCGTACTGGATTGCACGCCACGTCCATCATAGCCACCAGCGCCCAGCTAAACCCTCAGGGACGTCATGAAGACTGGACGCAAAACGCCCAAGCTACAGACCCGTGTCGTCGCATCGCTGTTTATCGGACATTCCCCCGTGTGTCCGGGCAGTGGGAGTGACGCGTGCGCACCGATGTTAACCGTGTCGGCCTTGTCGCCGCTCCTCGTCAACGCCAGCTCCTCCAGTCTGTAGCTGTGCGAGCCCCCGGGCAGCTGTGCCTCGCCTGCACACAGTTTCACAAACGGACAGAAGCGTGGCTGGGTAAGCAGTCGCGTAGGTAGAAATGAAGTAAGCGGATGGGCGGTTGGGTAGGTGGGTAGGTCAGTAGGTAGAGTTGGTGGTCGGATAGAGCGATTCACGGATTAGTCAGCGGATAAGCGGGTGGACGGGCTGTGGTTTGAATGGGCGGGTGCGTAAACCGATGGGTGGGAAGATGCTTGGGTAGATTGGTAAGCAGGTAAATTAGGTAAGTAGATGATTTGGTGGGCGGGTGGGTGGGTGAGTGAGTGGTTGTGTGCAGGTCGCAGTTACTGACCGGACGACGACGACGAGGAGGAGGAGGTGCCCTCTTGCGCCGTCTCGCCCGGCACTGCCGAGCCGCCGGGCTCCGCCGCGTCTCCCGTGGTGACCGTCTCCACATGAACGCCGTTCAGGCTGAGGTCCACCTGCTCAGAGAGACGCGAGCGACAGCCGCGGTGCGCCGAGCCCAAGTCAACGTGCATCGGCTCCCCACCCACACGAAATATACATTCGCCTACAGTAACAGTCATTCCCCCCATACCTATTGGAGTCCTAGGATTTAGATTGGGGGTTAGAGTTTGGGGTTAGTGTTTGGGGTTTTCGGTGTATGGGTAGGGGTGTCAGTATGGTTTGATAAGTGGGTTAGGATTTCGGTGTTTGGGTTTTGGATTGGGGGTTAGAGCTGGAGGCGGGAGATTTGTGTTATTGGTTAGGATTATGCATTTGGTTATTGAGGAGTAGTTAGGGTTATTAGTCATGGATTTGTGCAGGGGTTCGGGGTAGTGCTTGAGTTAGGAGTTGGGGTGAGGGGTTTTGGTTATTGCTTCAGGTTCAATGTTAGAGGTTTGGGTAGGGGTTCTGGATAGGACAATGCTTAGGCATTAGGGCCACATTGGTTTGGACCTCTGAGTATCCGAAAAGTAAAATGAGCAACTGTTTCACACGTAAGTTTGGACGTTGCTCTTAAAAATAAAGGTTTCCGTTGACAATTCACAGAAAAACTTAAATACAAATTTTAAAAAAATACGTTGTCACGTAAATATACGGGGGTACAAATATCCATACGCAACACCGCTATTCCTGAATACCGGTGACGAGTAAGAATAAACATTCATTTCTAAGGAAACAAACATTTGGGAGCAAGAAAAATATTTCCCGACAGTCGCCTTAATAGGCGCTCGCAAAACAGCACCAGCCCCAACAACAGGATCCGTCACCGATGACGGAGCCCGTGTGGGCTGCGCGATGGCGGGGTTTTTTTGTCTCTATTTATAGCCTCACCTTGGTCTTGTTCTTCGGATACAGAAAGGAGAAAAGTTTCAGCACTGGGGATCTGCAAATTGTAATAAAGAAACAACCAATTAGGTCTGTGGCAACAGAGCCTCCTCCAGTGTCGCCAGCAAGGCTGGCACGGAAATAAATAGCCACACGTTGCACTCGATTCATCATAGATGATTTTTTTCTACAGTGAGGGAAAAAAGTATTTGATCCCCTGCTGATTTTGTACGTTTGTCCACTGACAAAGAAAGGATCAGTCTATAATTTTATGGTAGGTCTATTTGAACAGTGAGAGACAGAATAACAACAACAAAATCCAGAAAAACGCATGTCAAAAATGTTATAAATTGATTTGCATTTTAGGAGCACTCCCTTTAAGAGTGTGCTCCTAATCTCAGCTCGTTACCTGTATAAAAGACACCTGGGAGCCAGAAATCTTTCTGATTGAGAGGGGGTCAAATACTTATTTCCCTCATCAAAATGCAAATCAATTTATAACATTTTTGACATGCGTTTTTCTGGATTTTTTTGTTGTTATTCTGTATCTCACTGTTCAAATAAACCTACCATTAAAATTATAAACTGATCATTTCTTTGTCAGTGGGCAAACGTACGAAATCAGCAGGGGATCAAATACTTTTTTCCTCTCACTGTACCCACGTGACTTTACCGAAAGAACCAAAGAGTATGGACTCCTGCAGTCACGAAAGCTTCAAATCCAGATAGGCTATTATTGTTGGACCAATGATAGGTAACATTTGCCACACGTCACTGTGCGTTAATGCAGAGCTCCAATAGGGTCCCTGGGTAGGTATGTAGTCAGGGAGATAGGTGGAAAGGTAAAATGTAAAATGCCCTATTCTTGGGTTTTTTTCGGTAAAGTCACGTAGGTAAAAAAAATTTAAATTAATAAAAGTAAAATAAAAAAATAAAAAAATAAAAATCACGACGTTTCGGAGGCAACACAAGCTTCCGTCTTCAGGTGGAACCGTCACAGCACGCTTGCTGTATCAAGTAAAGATTAAAATTTTTTTACCTACGTGACTTTACCAAAAAAACCCAAGAATATGAATCCTTGCAGTCACGAAAGCGTCAAATCTCGAATGTAAAATGCCCTGTGACGTCAATGTGATAGGTGCCAGTGTGCTCTTGCTAGCCTACTGAGACACCACAAATATGATTGTAATTACTTTCGCGTATCGATGCCCACAGCTGGATGGAGGCCTTACCATGCCGTGTTAGCGACAAAGGGGTTGTCTGACCATACTTCACCATGCCAGTCTGTAAGGGGTTGGGGAAAGTGTGGGGGAGCCCAGGCCCAGCTCAGACATCAATCGCAACGAACGTGAAAGCTGCGGCCGGTAGTGCAACTCAGGTGACCAGGGCTCGTATTGCGGTGCGCTAACCGCCGCACCTCCACTCGCCCCACCATCAGACACACGCACACACACCGATCACTTACATTTTGGGGCGTCCGCCGACAATGCCCGTCAGTCCTGGAGCTAAAAACAAAGACAAAAACAAAGATCCCCCGTATAGCTTTAACAGAGTGTTTGAGCAAGTGCTGTTAGCGAGCACCTATGAAGGCCGGCACTGCACACGAGGGGGTGGGTGGCCAGCATCACGCCTTTTTCTCCCCAGTGGCGATGTTTACACGCTGCACCAGGCACTAATTTGAGGCTGAGTCGACCTAGGAGTGGCCCAGGACCGGTTCAAATATTCGTCACGGATGTTGGTCGCGAGCGGGAATCGAACTCGGGCCGCCAGGTTCGTAGCGCACACTCACACGGGCAACGATGACATTGATATCAGAGACCAGACAAAGGTTCCATATTGACTAACTCGTGCTATGAGTACTCATTTACAGAACGGGGGGGGGGGGGGGGCAATGTGGTTGCGGTTCATGAGGGTGAAAGAGCTCCTTTTTAACCATGATAGATGCAACTGAATCTCGTGCTAAAGAACCGATATTTGTTCTTACGATTTGTAAACGGTGCATGGGGGTGGAGGAGTGGTGGTTGCACAGTGATGTCGCGCAATACACTCCGAACCTGGCGACCCGAGTTTGATACCCCGGTCAGGATCTAACATCAGTGGCGAGAAACAGCCGAGCCGGTCACAAGCCACCTCCTTCGCCAACCCGCGCTGACCAGCGTGGCGAAGTATGACCAAACGACCCCCACGGCTGACATCATCATTTGGCATAGGGCGACGCATCAAGATAATGACACAAATGTTCTTATGATATCACTACGTCGTGTTATTATTATTCATTTTTAGTGACCTTAAGCTGCTATGTTCACCACAATGGTTTTAGAAAAATAAAAAAATCGCGAATCGCAACCACTGAATCGCAAGTCATTGCAAAGTGGTGGGCCAGTAGTGCGCAGTGCGGCGCAATCCCTTGTTCTACTCGACTTCAACGTTACCGACATCTCACGTTCCACGTCTCCACCAACCCGAATCGTGGAGAAGTACGGTCAAGTCACCGCCACGACTCGCGCGGGTGCGGTCGGCAGGCCTTCATCCAGCGGCGGATTGGCAAACGGTCTGCGGGGCCTAGGCCCGTGATAATTAGGCCGCACGGGGCCGCAACCACCAGGCCGCGTGGGGCCGCGGCGCCGCGGCGTCGTACCCATGCTGGTGCCCGCCGAAGCGATCTCCATGCGGAAGAGCTCCAGCGCCCTCTTGTGGCTGTGGCCCACGGACATCCACAGCGCCACGTCCCTGGGACCCTGGCGTGACCATTCGGCCGTTCGGGGGCGGGGGGAGAGGAGGGGTACATGTGATCGATCAATTTTATTTCTTGCTTACACACGTGCGACGCTTTTCTGGCACCAATCTACCACTCAAAGCACCGTCGCATTCATATTCAAACATAAAAATAGAAAATTCCATACGAGAACAAATCTCTACTATCCATCTGAAAGTAGCCCCCCTCCACAACAATCTCGACGGAATATACACCCACAAAACTGGCAAAATCGCAAGAAATAATTATAAGATTTAAAAATGTACGCTGTGAAAAACCATGAAATGATGAAACTGCAAATTTGTACTTGTAGCAATTTTTATCATATAATCACTGTTACGTCACATGATCGTGAGAGATGGCAAAGGATTGTGGGAGGCTTTCATCCAGCAGTGGATTAAACATGACTGACAATAATGGCTGCATTTCACTACTCTAAAATAGTTTTATTAACAATGACACCAGCTTAAAACCGAATTTCTCGCCTAAAGATCTCTTTTAAAAAGCATCTCCATGCTATATCTGCAGTACTCCTTGTGCGATGATGTCATTTGTTAGTTGTTGTTGTTGTTATTATCCGTAGGGCACTGCGACTTCTCACCCCGTCGGACCAGCTGCGTGCGTGAGGCCCGTACGTGTCCTCGGCTCCCAGCACCTGCACGTGAACCTTCGAGAAGTCGCTGAGCCCCAAATGCTTGAAGATCCGCCGAGCCCTTCATTCGGGATTGAACGTCCGTGAAAGAGAAGACCAAAAAAATGTTTTTGCCACAACGTGCTCGGCCCCCGTGCAGCCAAACGTCACCATTTTTCCAGCCAAGCTCAGAAGGTGGCTCAAGATAGCAAACCTCCCTGTGTATACCTATGGGACCTTTGTGCCAGTATCAAAGACGATGGAAAATAAGAACATGTTTTACTTGCGTTATATTTGTACTATTTGCCTTTTGGCCTTCTCTGGTCTAAAACTGGTGAGACAGGCCCACAAATAGGGTTTCCCCTTTTTTCTGGCAACAAAACAGGTGTTTAGATGTTAAAACACCAAACTGAAACCTTTTGCAAGGAATCATATCTGCATTAACCACAATACTTGTGGTCCGAATGCAAACGAAAAACACTCTGATAGTTTATGCATTCTCTTTGAAACTGATTGGTCCACACCAGATACAGCTTTCTTTTGAGCCTAGTCTCAAATGGTGTTAGACCAGAGGACGCCAAAAGGCGTACAGCTCAAAGACAATGCACTATCAGAGTAATGAGAGCTTGGGGTGAGCATCTACATCATGGGACCTCCTTTGCCAGTACCAAAATATCAGAATAGGTTTTCCCCTTTTTCTGGCAACAAAACAGGTGTTTAGATGTTAAAACACCAAACTGAAACTTTTGCAAGGAATCATGTCTGCATGAACCACAGATACATGTAGCGTCCTCCGGTCTAACACTGAGACGAGGCTCTAAAGAAAGCTGTCTCTGGTGTAGGCCAATCCGTTTCAAAGACAATGCACATATATTATCATAACAGGTTTGTTTGCATGTTCACCACAAGTACTTTAATGCAGACTTAATGCCCTGCAAAAGGTTTCTATTTGGTGTTTGAACATCCTAACACCTCCTGTTCTATTGCCAGAAATGGTAAAACAAATTCTTATTTTTCACCGCCTGTGTATGTTTTCGTGATCGTGCTGTGTAGTTCCCTTCCGCGGCGTTGTTGTGGTTCGGATGTATGTTGAACTTCTTTCGCACCGCACATAGCCAACCGTGCTTATCGGAGTTGCCGGGAGGAAGGACAACAATGTCCGACGCTTCGCTCCACGTGCTGGCAGCTTCTGCAGGTTTTCAGTTCCTCCAGAAAGCTGCGGAAGCTCCCAGCACGCGGAAGCGAAACGTCGGACATCGCACCCAACGATCCGCGGCAACAACCTGAATAAACGCATCGGAGAGCGAAGCTAAATTTACGCTGGAGATACCGAGCCAGCGTCGCTGAGACCCTGAGTTCGAATCCGGGTTTTAACCGCGTGCGATTCAATCGGGTTCTCAAAGCTGGCGACGGTCTGGGCCCTGATAAACAAACGACTGCACAAAAAAAAGAACACATCGTGTCAAACTTGGCCTCCACTCAATCGCAAAAAATCTCCAGCTCCGAGGTCCTAGCGAAGAGTCGGCTTGACCGACGCGTGAAGAACGCCTCCGTAGCGGGGCATGTGAACGGGAGCAGGGAGCCAACAGTATGGATGGCTGGAGGGACAAGGAAGGTCCAGAGCAGCAGAAGAGAATGAGCGACCTCCCACTGAGCAAAGGATGACCGAGGGCTGCGAGCAGAGGGCGCGTCATGGGGGGGGGGTGGTGGTGGAAGAGGGGGGGTTAACTAAAATGCTCGGCTCACCGACGCGGAAATCCGCGCCCACCTTTTGAGGATGGCGTCCGCCGTCCTCCGGGCCTTCTCGGCCGCCCGGGGGCCTCCGATGGGGCACACGGCCGTGGCGCGGAACCCGTCGAGGAACGTCGCGCTCACCTGCGCCGGCAGAGGCACGCACGCGGATGAAAAACTCTGACCCTCGTGGCCATAACCAGACCGGTCGGACAAGTGCTGTGAGCGCCACACCACCTCTGCACAGCGAGGTGGTGGTGCTGTGGCTCGCACCGCGCCACGCCTGCATCTGTCCCCCCGCCAGAGCTGACGTGTACACACCTCGCCGGGTATTCGCTTGAGGCCGAGTTGACCTAGGGGAAGCCCAGGAGTGGTTCATTCGTAACTGATGTTAACAGCGGTCGGGAATAGAAGCCAGGTCGCCAGGTTTGTAGCGTGGTGCGATAACCACTACGCCACCACTGGGGCAAGTGCTGTTCGCGAGAAGCTATGAAGGCCGGCACGGCACACGAGGGGGTGGGGGTAGCCAGCACCTCGCCTGGCCACCTTTGTATCCCCAGTGGAGGCCCAGAGCCGGTTCAGATAATCGTCGCCAATGTTGACTACATGCGCGCGCACACACACGTATAAACGCGCATAAACACGTTTCGCTATCTTTTCCGCAAACTTCACTTGCAGCTCAAAACCCCAACAAACAGTTAATTGCATTTATAAACACCTTCATATTTTTTTACAGCGGAGGAAATTCAACTTGATATTTTGGTCGATGGCCTTACTTCCGGGCGTTTACGCCCACGTGAACTGGGCCACGGCGTTCCGCGCCGCGAGTCTCTTGGGACAATGAGCCGAATCTCCGGCGTGACTTTAACCCGGCCGCGTGCCGCTCGTCGCCGTCTCAGGCCTGACCTTGTAGGACGGTGACGGCGGTGACCCCTTGGCTCCCCGCACCAACACCGCGCCGCCTTCCACACCTGAGCGGACACGAGGGGCCCTCCCGGCAGTCAACAAACAACGCTCCCTCCCGGCAAACAACGCTCCCTCCCGGCAAACAACGCTCTCGGAAAATAACGCTCCACCCCGGCAAACCACGCTCCCGCCAAAACAACTCTACCTCCCAACAAACAACGCTCCCGGCAAATATGGCAAGCAGCCATTACGGTGGAGAAGCAGCGGGGTGGGGGGAGAGGGAAGACGGCAGGGAAGAGGGCAGGGCCCACAGGCCAGACGCGGTCCGCTGCTTCGTTTCACTTCACACGGGCCCGCGGCCACCTCGAATCAACCCACAAACGATATTCATCCGGCACCGCGAGGGTACTGCAGGAGGGGGGGGGGCGGTGAATATTTGAGCCTGGCAAGCGTCACCGTTGATAACGTTGCCTCTCTGTGTAAGGGCCCTCTTGCACAGAGAGGCAGAATTGGCCGAGCCGTGCGCGTGCGTTGACGTGGCACTCGGTGAGGAAGAGGGGAAAGAGATTGACGAGGAGAAGGAAAAAATTAACCCGTAAAAACAAAGTTTATCACTATAAATCCTTTATATGCGTGGTGGCTAGAGTCCTCTCGTCCTCTGGTTTGAGATGGCTGCCACCTATGGGTCAGATGATTGCCTGCCACCATTAAGCAATTGGTAATTAAATATAAAAAAAATTTTCCTAAAAAGTGTAAAAATTTGCAAAAAGAAATTCACGAAAAATAATTGTCACGCACAACGAGTCTGTGTGGAAAATGTCAGCTCGATTGGATCACGGGAAGTGGGTTAAAAAACGACCGAAAGATTTGCACGGTCGTAAGCGCGCAAGCGAGTGAACTTAATATAAAGGATTTAAAAAGACGGAGGAGTCGGTGGAGAACGACGGCGACTCACCGGGCAGCTCGGCCAGCGTGACCTCGGAGAAGTCGCACGTGACATCGGGCAGCAGATATCTCCGCGGGTCGCCCACCTCGTACACCAGCTGCTCCGACACCGTGCCGGTCGACACCAGGCCGCCCGTGCCGGGGGGCTTGCTCACCGTGAAGCTTCCGTTGGCCGAGCACTCCACCACCGGGTAGCCGATGTTTTCCCTGCGGAGGAACCGTGCCACGCAGGGGCACGCGCGGACTTGAGGGGGATGGGGGGGGGGTACCGGTGGGCGTGCGGAGGAGGCGGGTGGATGGGACGTTCGCGGACGGGCAGGGTAAACGACCGGCAAGTTCGGAAAACAACGCTGCGAACGACGACATCGTCGTCGATGTAATTCGGCAAGAATCGGGAAGAGGAGGCAGCTGTGGCTGGGGGCCACGTGCTTCGGATGGAGAGTTACAGGTGACTAGAGATTGGTGACTAAGGGGAAGAGAAGACCTAAAGCCCGATGGTGATCAAAGTTATTTACTCATTTGTAACGCTGCGCAGTTTTTTTGTGGATTCAGAAGAGCGGGGCAACCACAAAACAAGTGGGAAGGCAGCTAGAACTGACGCCAACAATTGCCCAAGTTCTGCGACCCTATATTTTGTATGTTTGGCTAACTACATTGATGTGGGAGGAAAACCGGAGCGCCTGGAGAAAACCCGCGTGTACGAGGGGACAACACTGCATACAGACGGAACGGATGGAGTCCACATTCCGCCTTCTGCTTGGCAAGGGGAGATTCCCAACATTTGAGTGATCCACCAACCTTCGCCTCCACGGCGCTGGATCCCCTCCCGCAGGACGTAAATATGTCTGTATGCAAGTTGAACTTCTTACACGCCGTACGTAGCCAACCGTGCCAGGGGAAGGACAAAAAACTAAGCACAAAAAGCAGTTCTAAAGAAATTAGTTTTCAATCTAGATTTTTTTTTAAAGGACATGTCGACTGTGCAGCACCGGGGAAGACCTAAAGCCGCATGGCGGGATGAGATTGGGTCTCGACTTTGCTACCACTACGGGGATCCAGAAGCAGGGAAGGAAGCGATGGTGAGGTGTGGTGACCTCTTGACCTTGACCGCGTCTTACCAGTCTGGGATGGTGTGCCAGTCGGTGTATATTCCACCCGTGCACTGAGCACCACATTCAATCAGATGCCCTGCCAGGCTGCGACAGTCAAAAGCACAAACACGTGGGTGTAAATATGCAATGTACATGCTAAGTTTTGCCACGGTTACACATCAACAGATTTAATTTACAGGGGATTGTTTTTCAACATTCTGTATGTATATGACGGAGCGATTAAATCGGATCATACGTGAGACGTCGAGTGAATTGTTACATCGCTGGGACGTGAGAGATGGTGGCAGCTTGCGGAGGCCTGCATCCAGCAGTGGACTGATGGTGGATGACGATGTATAAATGGTGCAGAATATTGCACTGCATAAGAACCGTGAGAGATGACGATGGCTTGGCGATGCCTTCATCCAGCGGTGAATTGATCACGCCTAGTGATGATGATGATGATGATAATAATGACAGTGATGTCGCTTTGGCTCCAAGTCCTTACCAGCCTGCCGCAAGGAGGTCATAGTCTTGGGGTTTCCAACCAAACTGCAATACCAACAGCAGATTCTCAGGTGTGGTGAAACATTTAACAATGTTGTAAAGTACAGACCAGCCAAATAACCCCCCCTCCCCGCACCCTGACCTTCACCAACCTTGTTCAGATAGCGGGCCCCGTGTGCTTTATTCAAGTAACCCTTCAATTGCCACGCAGCTGAGCGTCTCTGACTGTGCGGACCTCACTAACCGTCGCCTGTTTCAAGCTCTGCCCTTTACAGGCCCCAGTTTCCCACGTCGGGAAATCTTGTGCCGGTGTTTCGACTAAACTTGCAATGTCCCATCCCACCGGTGCTGGATAATCCCAGTCGCAAAAGTAGCTACATATGTAGTAGCTACGGGCCCCAAACTTTCAAGGGCCCCACGCTAAATGCTTTCAAGCTATAAATTCCGGTTCAGTCATTCTGCACTTGCTCTATTACTATAGTACTATACCGCCTTCAACTTTTATGAACAACTGGGTGTTTAAGGTTAGCTATTTGTCGTATTATCTGGCTGTATAGCAAATGAAAAAATTAAATTAATTTACTATGCAAGTAAAAAAATCGTGTTTTAATATTTATGTTTTTTTTTATTTAGGGCCCCACTAGCTTAATCCAGCACGTCTCAACCGTAAACCGCACACGACAGCTGCCTGCCCCCGCAGTGGACGTCTCGGTAAACTCCCGTGACGTAATTCGAAAGAGAGTCGGCGCCAAGTCACGGTCCAACTTAACCACATTCGAACAAAAAATCACCCACAAACTACTCAACAGGAACCTAACGCAAGCAACCGTTGCCCCACCTACTGCAAAAACAACAAAAAAATCGGCACGACACTCCTGAAAAAGCATCGTGAGACTCGGTGAGGCTTACGTGGGTGAACAAGCAGAAGAATAATAATACAAATATTAATAAAACCACTGTGGTGTGCAGTGCAGACGATGTTTATGGCCGTGATCGTGATGGTAAATCACATCACATCATCATGTGTCAACGCATCATCGGCTAATTCTAGGCATCTAACGATGCATCCACCGATTGATTGAAATCGATCCGCAAGCTCGTCACATATGCAGTGAATTGCGAGTAAAATAACAATAATGCGTTATTTATAATTCATACAAATTATTTATAATATTATAACTCGTACAAACGTGGCCACGTTGCTTCAATCACCTGTCCACCTGGCAGCGTGAAATGGGTAACACCACAGTTAAGTCCATTGGCAGCCACGCGCGAGTTTGATTAAAAGTGTGGATAGCTTCCCATGTCTTTGACAGACGTCTGGCCCGGCGTGGAAGAGTCGGCCAGGAAGGGGGGGGGCTCTCGATCGAGGTCGCTCGAGCAGAGTACCCACAGCCAGCGGGGGCGTGAACAAGCGATCACGGGGCTGCGCCGTTACCTGTGCGCTAATTGTCTGAGAACAACGCCATTTGGGCTGAAGGGGGCAAGCACATACATCTACGGGAACGAGACAGGTAAAGAAAAAATATATATATATAATTGAGAAACGACACAAACCAGCTCGCAAACTGGTGCCAAAAAATGATAAATACACCTTCTTGTTTCTTTCGGTAAAGTCACGTAGAAGGGAAGTAATAAAATAATAAAAATAAAACATAATAAAATAATTCTCACGACGTTTCGGCTGCTAGCGTTGTGGCCGAAACGTCGTGAGAATTATTTTATTATGTTTTATTTTTATTATTTTATTACTTCCCTTCTACGTGACTTTACCGAAAGAACCAAGAAGATGAATCCCTGCAGTCACGAAAGCTTTAAATTGATAAATACACGTCGAACGTTTTCTCGAATCACGTCCCCAGAATTGTTGACAAGCGATCAAAACGCCGGTGGAGGGCAGCTGCATGGCCACGTAGCTAAACGCCATCGGGAGCCGTGTGTGGGTGGGCGAGTCCATCTGACGGTTTTCGAGGGCGCCTGTTTCACCGCGGGTTTTTGCCGGCTGGTGCGGTGACGGGCGGGGGGGGACGGGGGGGGGGAGGGGGACCGCTGGGTGGTGGGCGAGCCGTGACGACGTACTTTGTGAATGAGAGGACCCAGCACCAGGGCGCTGTCCACGCACCTGCCAGTGATGACCACGTCCGCCCCGAGGTCCAGCGCCCGGCTGATTGGCTGCGCACTGCGAAATTAAAACGCAATACCTCACCACCGCAGCACCTCCGTTCGGAAATTTCACAACTTATACTGAGTGCGTCAATCGCATCCGTGTACTTTATTTGATCGCGCGGTTATGTTTTGGAAGGCACCAGTGATGGAAAGGTGCCAGTGATTGTCGAATTAATTTGAATGCTTGGCAAAACTCCGGTCATCCTCGCAGCAGTGGCTATTGGCTAAGCCATCGAACAAAGACGGTCAACGCATCGCGCGCTTTCAGATGCGCTTCTGCGGCCGTCTGGAACGCTCTTCCTTCCGACATTCGTAAGCCACTGGAGCGATGCACTTTTAAATCATCTGTGTTGAAAACTCAGTTTGTTGTCCTTCCCCCGCACCTCCGATTGGCACGGTTGGCTACGTATGGTGCAAAAGAAGTTCAACATACACACATGCAATAAAGAGGCGATGGCAAATACCCCAGGTACGCGTTCATGCTGTAGACGGACTGTGGGAAGGGCACTCCAGTGTCCAGGTCTCGCACTCCGGACTCTGCGATCGCTGCCTTCTGTACAATTAGAGGGAACAAACGCAATGTATCAATCGTATTATTATTACGACACTCGATTATACGGGAGAGCCCCGCTGAGACTCACGACTCTTTATCAGCAGCGTTCTGCTGTGTTTTTCGCAGGACAGGGGTGCCAATTGCTGTGTATAATTCCGATTTGAGTACATTGTGCGTGTCAGTTTTTTTCTTCTAATTTGGACCACGACGCCAGGGCACACGAACGACGTCACAGGATCCTTGGTGCAAACTTTGAAGTGGACGGCTTGTATTTTGATAGTTTATACGCCCGATTTATTGAACTTTAAACTAGTTCAACAATTTTTATCTTACCAGGTAAGGCCCACTGAGCTACGTAGCTCTTTTTGTAGAAGCGACCTGGCAACAAATGATAGCTCAATGAAGTGGCTTATCGCGTGGAAATTTATAGCAGCCAAATACTCCAAACGCACGTTGATTCTAAATGTGGAGGGAAATACCGCAAGATCCGGAGAAAAATCCACGCGACCACGGGAAGAACACGCAAACTCCAAATATAGAGGTGTCAGGGTCGGGATCGAACCCACGACCACCTGTATACCAGGCGAGGTAGTTGACATCTCGCCACTGTGGCGCACCCTTAATCAGGTTGGCCGCTGGATTCAAACCGTGCACCTCTGCAAGAAGTGCTAAGTGCGCTACCGCTGGGCCATGTCATGAGAACAAAAAGAGATTACAGTAAAACCTTGGATTGCGAGTAACTTGGTCTGCGAGTGTTTTGCAAGACGAGCAAATTTTTTAAATAAATATTAATTTGATAAACGAGCGAGGGGTCTTGCAATACGAGTAGTACGTGTTTACGCTTTGTCTGCCGAGCGTCACGTGATCAGAACTTATATACGAGTGCTTTGGATTACAAACACGTTTCCGGAACGAATTATGCTCGCAATCCAAGGTTTTACTGTACTTGATTTCGAACAGATGAAAGCTATGATATTCAGTCATTGATTCAGCATATAAGGATTCGCCCACTTGGGCCACAATTGGGATTCATGAGTTGCCGTTTCTCCATTGCACGTGCATTTGTGCGTTTGTGAGTGTGTACAAGTGTGCACGCGCGCATGTATGCACGAGTGCATGTTGCATGTGGGTGCGTACAATTTGATGTCCTGAATGCCCGTGGGTACGTGTGTGTGCATGTTTTCACGTGAAATTGGGAAGCGGTAGCGTACTAGTTAGCGCACTGAGCTACGAACCCAGTGACCCGAGTTTGAATCCCGCTCACGGCCAACACCAGTAACAATGATCTTAACCGGTCCGAGACCTCCCCTAGGTCGACTCAGCCTCAAATGAGTGTCTGGTGCGGTGTGCAAACATCGCCACTGGGGGAGACAAAAGCGGCCAGGGGTGGTTCTGGCGACCCACCCCTTCGTGTGCCGTGCCGGCCTTCCTAGTTGCCCCAACAGTCTGCTAAGGCTACACGGGGGATCTTTGTCTTGGCGTGCGTGCGTGCGTGCGCGCGAGCGTCTCACGTGCTCCATGAGGTCGTCGCCCGTCACGACGGCCACGCTGAGCTGCACCCCGGCCTTGGTGGCGGCCTCTCGCAGCGCCAGTGCGCACGCCTCCGGGTTCATGCCGCCCGCGTTGCTCACCACGCGCACGCCTGCGGCACCGGCAAAGGCGCGGGCGGCGGACACACGCAGCACGCTCGACACACATCCCCGACGCCGCACGACCACCAGCAGCCCAGCTACTGTTGTGGCCTTTCGTCAGATGCATCCTCACTGTCACTGTCGTCATCATGTACGTTATGTGTACGTTGAACTTATTTCGCACACCGTGCGCGAGCCGGTCCATGCTAATCGGAGGTGCGGGGAAGGACAACAATCATCATCATCATCGTCTCTTTAATTTCCACCCGATTTAATCCGATTGCGAGATACAACAGGGTCATGTTGTGAGACCAAGCAAGCGTTTGTGTTAGAGAATGGCATACAGAAGCGGATGTCGGAGAACTACCTCGGAAATCCCCTTCAAGTGACCGCCTGCCTCATGCAACCGAGAGGAATGTTTGTCACATGACGGTCAAATCAATGTCATCTGGAAATTCGCCAAATGAAATGTAGAACCAAAGGCAATGTTACGAAGCTTTTTTTTTTCGTGCAGTCACTTGGTGACCATGCTGAGACCAACTCACTACGCTTGACAACCTGGTTTAATCATTGGCAGATGAAATTGGATGTGAACCCAGAATCCCTTGAGCTCAGCACTCTGAACTCTCTATAGGCCAACGATCCCCAACCTTTTTGGCACCAGGGACCGGTTTCATGGAAGACAATTTTTTCACGGACCGGGGGGGGGGGGGGGGGGGAGTCATCATTGGGTCTTTCCCCCTTTTCAAAGAAGCTCTCCAGCGACGTTTGTTTTTTACTCATTTTGGCCAGGGGTTAGCAGCTTGTGGGCTTACCAACACTGTGACTGAGACAAGTGCGTGGAGGCCAACATCGGAAATCGTGGCGAACAACACGCGGCGCGACCTTAACCTTCTCCCGTTCTGAGATGTCGGCAGGCTGGAGGGTGGGATGTCCTGTTCACCGCTGAATCTTGGAACGACACGAGCGCATTCTATGATAGCTGGCGCCAAACTGCGCCACACGCCCTCCCGCATGGTCTTGTGGGAGCCTCGGCACCGATAAAGTTACACGTACGTCATCAGAACGGGAAAGGGTTAGCTCTCGCTGGAGAGCTGCAATCCAAGGTCCTCACCTCTCTTGTGGATGTCTTTGATGAACGGAGCCATTGCAGCATACACAAAGTCAGGCGTGTACCCCATGTTCTGGTGCAGCACACACACACACACACGCAGGTGACACGTGACTGGTATTAATATTACAAAGATAAAGATCCCCCATATAGCCTTTAACATACTGTTCGGGCAAGTGCTGGTAGCAAGTAACACTTAGTAAGTCGGACGTGGCACACGAGGGGGTGTGGCCAGCACCACACCCGGCCGCCTTTGTCTCCCCCGTGCTGATGTTTACACACCGCACCAGGTACTCGTCATTTGAGGCTGAGTCAATTTCAAGTTCATTTATTAGGTATAGCCCTGTGAGCCATTCGGCTCTTGAATCGGGTGCAACCGCAACAAACAAAAAACCAAAACATGAACAAAAAAACATCTTAAAGTGAATATGTGACTAAGTGCAAACAGAAAATCTAAGAAAAGACAGCAAAATATTGCAGAAAAAATACCGTACACCAACGCTGTGTGCAAAAATCCCAGTGGGATGTAAGTCAAACAACAACAACCACAAGACAACTTAGATTAAGGCCATCAGTCTAACTCTGTACTACAACAAACAAACATGGCTAAACCAATACACTTTTCGAAATCACCAAAATTAAGCCATGAAAGCAATGAAACAGTGATCATAGGAACTGTGACGGAATTTTCACAATACATGACATAAACAACATGTACTACCAAAACTCTGCAGCCATAGCTGGCTGCATGAGTCACTCCACAACAAAGTCGACCGACGGGAGGCCCAGGACTGGTTCAGATAATCGTCACTAATGTGTTGACCGTGAGCAGTAATCGAACTCGGGTCGCTGGGTTCGTATAAATAATACATACACACAGGAGGACAGGTAGCGAGTAGTAATATTACGTACACACACACACACACACGTGGGGGTAGCTGAGATGATGAGCAGACAGGCACACAAAGTTGCAGAGCACGCCAATTGTGCTTCAGGGGTGACCTTTTGGATTCATGTTCAATGTATGTGACATGGTATGGTGATACTGTGATGGCAGCGGTGCACAAGCACAAATAACGAACACAATTCAACACACCTCAACACACTCATCAATAACGGGCCATTATGGGTTTTTTTTCCTTTTGGGGTATTGTTTAGAAATGTGATGCATACCACCAAACCCTTGCTTTGGTGAAATCCTACACCGTGAATTATATTCATCTATAACCCATAAATTTTTCCCACCCCGTAACAATTATATTAAAGTGTTTTTTATTTATCACCATCATGTCATGAGATAAAGCAGTCTCCATTCGGATCTCTGCAGCTCAATTCCATAGATATGGCTCCTCATCCGCATGAAGGGCACGCACTTGCACAGCCCTGCCAATGTCAACCGAACGGACGTTTAAATTCTCTGGAGCTGGATTCGAGAACCCAGTGATTCTCAGAAGGTGACGTCTCAGGTGCCCCGTCCCCTGAGCTACCACCAGGCAGGCTACCTCGAGGTTATTTATTTATTTAATAAAATTCACTTTCACGCACTTGCAAAGCCCTGCCAATGACAACCGAACGGACGTTTAAATTCTCTGGAGCTGGATTCGAGAACCCAATGATGCTCAGAAGGTGACGTCTCAGGTGCCCCATCCCCTGAGCTACCACCAGGCAGGCTACCTCGCGATTATTTATTTATTTATTTTATAAAATTCACTTTCACGGCTGCTGAGTGCCGCCGGGCTGTGCAAGGCGCACACGTTTGGGTGAGCTCACCGGCGCCTTGCTCTTCGCGTTGGCCAGGAGGGACATGGTGATCTCGGAGAGGTAGTCAAACACCAGGAAGTCCAGCCGGCCACCGTGCACCAGTTGTGGTACTGGGGGGGGGGGGGGGTAGACACAAAACAAAGGTCCCCCGTGTAGCTGTAACAGACTGTTGGGGCAAGTGCTGTTAGCGAGCACCTACGAAGGCCGGCACTGCACACGAGGGGGGTGGGTGGCCAGCACCACGTTCGGCCGCCTTTGACTCCCTGAGTGGTGATGTTTACGACACACCGCACCAGGTACTCATTTGAGGCTGAGTCGACCTAGGGGAGGCCCAGGACCGGTTTCAGATAATCGTCTCTGGTGTTGGCCGTGAGCGAGAATCGAACTCGGGTCACTGGGTCTGTAGTGCAGCGTAGCGATAACTGCTACCAACACCAATCACCATTAAGTGGGGGTGACGTCACCACAGCGCTTGTGCCAGGCTATGTGCATATGAAGGCCACGTGAAGTGTCGAACTCCCGCTGGCAGGAAGTCACGGGGCAGAGCCAGGTGCCATGGGTTGAATCACTGAGATGACTGGCCGATGCACCACCTGTGCCCCCGACTGTGTCAACTTTCTGTGATTTATCCACCCCGCGTTCTGCTCGTTGTTGTGAGCGTCGCTCCTCTGCCCTCTATTGTTGTTGGAGGGCGGCTGCCTCGAACTGCCTAGTAGTGTCCTTCACGAGCCTCCTTAACCGCTACAACTACAACAACAACCGCCATTCGTCACTAAGTGGCGGTGACGTCACCACGACGCTTGTGCCAGGCCAAGTGCACCTTGAGGCCACGTGAAGTGTCAAACGCCCGCTGGCAGGAGGTCACGGGGCAGACCCAGTAGGTACCACGGGTCGACTGACTGAGATGACCGAGATGACTGGCTGATGCACCACCTGTGCCCCTACTGTACCAACTTGCTGTGCTTTAGCCACCCGGCGCTCCGCTCGTTGTTGTGAGCTACCCTACCACACACACACATGAAAACGCATGGCAGAGATATTTAAAGCTATCAAATATCTGGGAGGCTCAACCGGAAGCTGTCAGCCCCACCCACTCTAACAAAGCCACACCCACTAACTCACTAGCCCTGCGCAGTGAGTGGTCGCATTGGTTTGACCTTGAGCCGGCCTACTGCTTAGAACTACCGGCTGACTCTGCCAGGTTTTAAATTGAGGTTAATTTTGTTTAAAGGGGTGGGGAGCTCGAGAGACCACGTGAGTCCCATTTGCAAGCGTGACCTGGGTCAACGAAACAATAAAGTACAATACTGTACATCCAAAACAGCCAATAGAAATGAAAGCAAAAACTATCACATTGAGAAATCTAAAATATCGCACGCACGTAAATCAATGTTAAATCACTAACTGGTCAAAATGCAATGGCACTTAAGTTAGCGAAACGTTGGAATCGAATGCAATTTCAAGTGACAGTGCCGCGCGCGACTAAGATAGCCCTGACTTTTCCAAACCTCTTAATAGATATCGCTAGCTAGCACAACAGGGCGTGCGTTGACGTGTTTACCAATCATCAGGTGCGTGAAAGCTCGTTGCTTAAACATGACAAAGAGCTGCAGCTAGCGTGGCTTAAAACAGTTTTTTTTTTACTTTCGACAAGTCTGGATTGTGTCCAGGGACTGAAACTGGGTTGGAGTGAACTGGGTGAGAGGTGAATAACTTTGAATGAGGGTCACAACATTACATCTGTGGCTACACTTTACTGCGGGCAGTATAATTATAACTACATCATATCTATGCCCTGTGTTTCTGTAGGAAAGCCACACAGAGTCGCCAATACTCGCTTATTTGTAAAAAAAAAATCATCGCGACTTAAAGCTTTCGTGATTGCAGGAATTCATTGTGAGTTTTTTTTTATTTTGAATATTGTTTTTATATTTTCATTTTTATTATTTTATTTTCTAATCGTCGCATTGCTAATTGCTACACGGTGGTGATTGCAGCAACCTCTGGCGGCTGCATCGAGGGGGGTTTACCACTTCAACAACCGCCGTTCGCCACCAAGTCAACCACGGCGCTTGTGCCAGGCTAGGTGCACTTTGAGGCCACGTGATGTGTCGAAGGCCCGCTGGCATGAGGTCACGGGCTGATGGGCTAAGATGATTGGCTGAGTGCACCAACTGTGCCAATACTCTTGAGTTTTAGCCGCTGGTGGTTGTTGTTGTGAGCGTCGCTCCTCTGCCCCCCGTTGTTGCTGGAGGGCGACTGCCTCCGACTCTCCCCTTTGAACCCACAACCGCACACACACACGAATCGAAACTCGATCGATCCCACCACCACCACCACACCACGTTGCATGATCAGCATCGGAAGCAGCAGCAGCAGAATCAGCAGAAGCAGTAGAAGCATCAGAAGCAGCAGAAACAGAAGCAGTAGAAGCAGCAGCAGCAGTAGAAGTAGCAGCAGAAGCAGTAGAATCAGCAAAAGCAGCAGAAGCAGCAGAAGCAGTAGAAGTAGCAGCAGAACCAGCAGCAGAAGTAGCAGCAGCAGAAGCAGCAGCAGAAGCAGTAGATGTAGAAGTAGCAGCAGTAGAATCAGCAGCAGCAGTAGAAGCAGTAGCAGAAGCAGCAGCAGAAGTAGCAGCAGCAGTAGATGTAGAAGTAGCATTAGTAGAATCAGCAGCAGCAGTAGAAGCAGTAGTAGTAGCAGAAGTAGCAGCAGTATATGTAGAAGTAGCAGAAGCAGTAGAATCAGCAGCAACAGTAGAAGCAGTAGATGTAAAAGTAGCAGCAGTAGAATCAGCAGCAGCAGTAGAAGCAGCAGTAGAAGCAGCAGCAGAATCAGCAGAAGCAGTAGAGGTAGAAGTAGCAGCAGTAGAATCAGCAGCAGTAGAAGCAGTACTAGTAGCAGAAGTAGCAGCAGCAGTATATGTAGAAGTAGCAGAAGCAGTAGAATCAGCAGCAGCAGTAGAAGCAGTAGTAGTAGCAGAAGCAGCAGCATGTAAAAAAGTAGCAGCAGTAGAATCAGCAGCAGCAGTAGAAGCAGCAGTAGAAGCAGCAGCAGAATCAGCAGAAGCAGTAGAGGTAGAAGTAGCAGCAGTAGAATCAGCAGCAGTAGAAGCAGTACTAGTAGCAGAAGTAGCAGCAGCAGTATATGTAGAAGTAGCAGAAGCAGTAGAATCAGCAGCAGCAGTAGAAGCAGTAGTAGTAGCAGAAGCAGCAGCAGAAGCAGTAGATGTAGAAGTAGCAGCAGTAGAATCAGCAGCAGCAGTAGAAGCAGTAGTAGTAGCAGAAGCAGCAGCAGAAGCAGTAGATGTAAAAGTAGCAGCAGTAGAATCAGCAGCAGCAGTAGAAGCAGCAGTAGAAGCAGCAGCAGAATCAGCAGAAGCAGTAGAGGTAGAAGTAGCAGCAGTAGAATCAGCAGCAGTAGAAGCAGTACTAGTAGCAGAAGTAGCAGCAGCAGTATATGTAGAAGTAGCAGAAGCAGTAGTAGTAGCAGAAGCAGCAGAAGCAGTAGATGTAGAAGTAGCAGCAGTAGAATCAGCAGCAGCAGTAGAAGCAGTAGTAGTAGCAGAAGCAGCAGCAGAAGCAGTAGATGTAGAAGTAGCAGCAGTAGAATCAGCAGCAGCAGTAGAAGCAGTAGTAGTAGCAGTAGCAGAAGTAGCAGAAGCAGTAGAAGTCGAAGTAGCAGAAGCAGTAGAATCAGCAGCAGCAGTAGAAGCAGTAGTAGTAGCAAAGCAGCAGCAGCAGAGATGTAGAAGTAGCAGCAGTAGAATCAGCAGCAGCAGTAGAAGCAGTAGTAGTAGCAGAAGCAGCAGCAGAAGCAGTAGATGTAGAAGTAGCAGCAGTAGAATCAGCAGCAGCAGTAGAAGCAGTAGTAGTAGCAGAAACAGCAGAAGTAGCAGCAGTAGAAGTAGCAGCAGTAGAATTAGCAGTAGAAGCAGTAGTAGTAGCAGTAGAAGTAGCAGAAGCAGTAGAAGCAGAAGCAGCAGTAGCAGAAGTAGCAGCAGCAGTAGCAGCAGCAGTAGAAGCAGTACTAGTAGCAGAAGCAGCAGCAGCAGTAGCAGCAGCAGTAGATGTAGAAGTAGCAGCAGCAGTAGCAGCAGGAGCAGCAGCAGTAGCAGCAGCAGTAGAAGCAGTAGTAGTAGCAGAAGCAGCAGCAGCAGTCGATGTAGAAGTAGCAGAAGTCGCAGTATAAGCAGCAGTAGAATCAGCAGCAGCAGCAGCATCGTCATCAGCACGGCACGGCGAGGTACCTGCGGTGGCCGTGTCTCCCCAGAACGCGGACGCGCAACCGACGCGCAGCGCTGCGTCGTCGCTGCCCCACCGAGCCCGCGGCCACGGGGCCACCAGGGCCCCACTGGGGGGGCCCTGGCTCCCGAGGGGGGCCCTCGTGCACCACCGAGACCAGCACAAAGCTCTCGCTCTCGGAGGGGCCATAGCGCACAGCATGACCGCCTCTGTTGTTGTTGTAGCTGCTGCTTGCTTGCTGGTGGTGGTGGCCACAAAACAACTTTTGACTCCTCCTCCTCCTTCCTCTCTCCAAACGTCCTTCCGACCTTCCGGCCTCCCTCCTCCTGGTGCTGACCGCCCCCTACACCCGGCCAGGCAATGGGGATAGCGCCCTCTACCGGAACGCGCAGTGAGCCCTGGGCGCAGCGGCTTGAGTTGGCAAGTTGTCATCGATTTTGGCCGGTGGTGGTGGTGGTCATAATTGATTGAGTTTTTACTGGTAGGAACTTCCTGGTTACACCAGCTCCACAGGGGATTATTGTGTCCGTCGTGCAGGGGGGGGAGGGAGTGGCTGGGTGGGGAGGGGAGGGAGGGGAGGGGCTGGGTGGAGAGGGGCTGGGTGGGAGGGGTTGGGTGGGGCGGGGTGGGGGTGGGAGGGGTGGGGCTGGGTGGGGCTGGGTGGGGCTGGGTGGGGGTGGGAGGGGTGGGGCTGGGTGGGGAGGGGCTGGGTGGGGAGGGTGGGGAGAGGCTGGGTGGGGAGGGTGGGGCTGGGTGGGGGGTGGGGAGGGGCTGGTCACCCCGTGGTGCCTTTATAAAACTCAACGTTTAACCTACTCACGCCGGATTGTGCCCGCCCTCACAGTCGGACATATTTGCTGAATACACCACGCCGCCGTTGACCGTGGCCATTGACCGAGCAACCCAACGTTCCTACCAGCTCCCTCCGCAGGAATGTGTTAATGGGCAGATCGCGTTGAGTACAATGTGCGTGTGTCTGAACCCCTCCTCCAGCCGACGCAGCCAATTAATAGGGTTTTCAAGTGGACCAACGTGTCCCAATGTCCATAATGTCGGTGTTTATGGGTTAGATCGCGTAAATGTGTGTGTCGTTAAACACGCCATCAGACATTTCTACTTACGCGATCTCACACAAAAAAACCTCGATGGATAATATTGGTTGGTTACGTGTTAAAGTCTACCAATGTTTTACTGCTTTAGTACCACTCAACTAAAAATATCTTATTTTCAGAAGCGACCTGGCCACGCATGAAAGTTCAACAAAGTGGCTTATCACGTGGACATTTATAGCAGCCAAATACCCCAAACGCGTGTTTCTACATTGAATCTGTTACGACGTCGTGCAGGTAGTTGCAGAAAGGTGAAAATGTCCTCCAGTCTTGGGCCTCAATCCGCACTGTTTGCTTACGAGATCCGACCCAAAAATCAGCTATGAATCCATAATATCGGTCACGACAGCCTTCGTGTAACCTTTAGTGCTGTGTTGTTTGAAGCTCATGGTTTTCTGGACTGCACTATTGTTCCGCTGTGATGTGCTTTGCTCAACATATGCAACATTGATTAGTGTAATTGCTGCAAATCAAGTGAACTCTTTTTTTTTACCGGTTGATCACTCCAGAGACCCAGGCTAGTGACCTGGGTTACTAGATTGACTCGATTGTCAAAAGCAAAACAAATGAAATCCAGTCTGACAATGATGCAAAATAAAAATCAGGGCAAAATCAAGCGCTTGGTGGCCGTGGAAAATAGAATGCAGTGGCGTTAGATATCGAGTGTGCAGGCAGTACAACTGCAACAGGGCCCAGAATGAACGCATTTTGGAGTTTTTTTCTGCCCATTTGTTTTACTTTTGCGAATTTTGTTATTTTATCATAATTCGAATTTCACCGCAGAAGCCATACTCGTCACTGCTGTCAGACGCAAAGCTACAGTCGAAGAGAGAGACACATGCTGACACTTGTGTGACAATGCACATTTAAATTTCGATTTAAAGCTTTCGTGACTGCAGGGATTTATCTTCTTGGTTCTTTCGGTAAAGTCACGTAGAAGGGAAATAATAAATAATAAAAATAAATGTTATTATATTATTTTTTAATGTTTTATTTTTATTATTTTATTATTTCCCTTCTACGTGACTTTACCGAAAGAACCAAGAAAATTCACATTTAAGTTAAAATAATTCTAAAAAGTGGCCACTAAAATAGACTCAACGCGCACGTTTGAGGAATTTAACCTCAACTCAGCGTGCCGTGGCAATTGGTGAGACCTAACGCACGCTCGCTCTGCTCTTCGCATGGATGATCGTGCTCAGCTGTCCCGGAAAATAGTTCTACCCTACACCCAGCTTAACGCCCGCTACGAGCCGTGGCGACACATCACGTGCCCCCTACTCCAGTCTCCCCAGCGGCCCGACAAATACTTGGCGAGACATTTGAGCCCTGACCGTGCAACCAGACAAGAGCGGGTTCCAAGTGGCAAGGATTTTTTTTGCCATCTCGGCCAAATCTGCAAGGGCTCTGCTGGCGAGCAGAGTGGGGAACAACGCGGACGTCCAGAATAATAACCACCTCCTCATTTCGAGACCCAAACATCATCGCAACCTCCTGGCTTTCACATTCCTCCTCTTCCTCGACGACGCCGGCGGTGGTGTAACCATCGACCGCACCAGGACATCGACAGCAGGCCGATGGGCACGTCTCCGATGTGAACGGAAAGTTAAAGACACAAGCCACGGTACTGGAGTGCGATTGCGGCCATGCAACCAAGCAAAACGATGGGCCGTGTAGTCAACCACTGCAGTCTGAGCCCCTTCGGTGGGAAAATTACACTAATTCCTGAAGTCCCTCTCGTGCCGAGCAGAGCTTGACAATTGTAAATGTAGGTCCTAAAGGTATTGCTGAGAGACGCGCCTCCGATGAGCACGGTTGGATACGTGCGGTGCGAAAGAAGTCCAGCATACAGTGCTGTGCACGCATACGCGAGAATAGAAATAGCTCCTGAGGTTACATCGTGTGCCATCACTCTCAGCTTTGGCTGGGACTGCGGAATATAATCGGTGTCCGCTGCCGTGTGCTTTCTGTCCCGGTTGAGAAGTCACGACCTCCCAAGGTCTCCCAAGGTCGTGGGGTCTCCTTAAAAAATTAAATCAAATTTCTCCGCGTGGGAAATGACGCACACCTCAATCGGTACCGTGCCCCACGTGAAACCGGCAGCATCGCCGAAACTCGTTGACGCGGAAAGTTCACCAAGCGGACGGAGCCAAAACCCACCTGCGAGACACGTCGCTGGACGTGGCCTGGGAGTCCCACGTCACTCAACTGTTTCACCCAACCGTGGGCCGGTGGTCATCGGAACGCAACTTAGAGGACGTCCATAAATGACGTCATGTAATTTTGGACGATTTTTGACCCCCACCCCCCGCCTCAAATATGACGTCACAAAGCTCTGCCCCACCCCCCCTCTCAAAAAAATAAAACATGCTTTAAATCGCTTTAAACTATTGTCATTGTTGTGCGCATTTAATGTGGCGCTGCACTCTGATGTTGTAGGAAAAAGCATTTATTAAAACGTCTATTTAATTCAGTAGAACGTGCTGTCGAAATTTATTTAAAGTTGCGCATTTTTATGTGACGTCACATTTCTCAACACCCCTCTCCCCTCGTCACACATCGTCACAAATGTCTGACCGCCCCCCCCAGGTGCGTGACGTCATTTATGGACGGTCCCTTAACAGGTAGTTGGCAGTGTAGTCGCTCGTTGTGTATCGTGTCAGTGGGGAGCGGTGGTGTAGTGGTTAGCGCGCTGCGCTACTAACCCGGCCACCCGAGTTCTATTCTTCTTTCGCACCGCACGTAGCCAACCCTGCGTCGTGGGGGCTCCCATCAGTGGTGGTTCGCCCCGGGCCCCGCACACCCCCCTCCCCCCACTCTGAACGGCACTGCCGGCAGGTATCTCTAGCGAGCCCGCCCGCTTGAGGCTGTTGTTGAGCGTTGTGTTTGTCGCGGGACAGATGAAGACATGCAGCTGCAAGGGAAACAACAACAACAACATACGAAGAAGACGACAGGGCGATTCATCGGCGTCAATGCCTGCGAATGTGTCCACGCTGTGACTTGCGGCTTCCGTGCGACAAGTTTGATAGGCAGCAAGAACATCTAAATCGTTTTTTTCATGTAGCGCATGTAACATCAGAGGCAGTATCACTTACATAACCTACTGGAGGTTGTTAGGCACTTTTCATCCCCCCCCCCCACCACCATGGCCAGTTTCACTCTACTCCCCTCCACCACGCACTCTCCTGCCTCTCCCCTCTCATCTCACTCTACTCCCCTCCACGCACTCTCCTGCCTCTCCCCTCTCATCTCACTCTACTCCCCTCCACGCACTCTCCTACCTCTCATCTCACTCTACTCTCCTCCTCCACGCACTCTCCTGCCTCTCCCCTCTCATCTCACTCTACTCCCCTCCACGCACTCTTCTGCCTCTCCCCTCTCATCTCACTCTACTCCCCTCCACGCACTCTCCTGCTTCTCCCCTCTCATCTCACTCTACTCCCCTCCACACACTCTCCCACCACTCCCCTCTCATCTCACTCTACTCACCTCCACGCACTCTCCTACCTCTCCCCTCTCATCTCACTCTACTCCGCTCCACGCACTCTCCTGCTTCTCCCCTCTCATTTCACTCTACTCCCCTCCACTCACTCTCCTGCTTCTCCCCTCTCATCTCACTCTACTCCCCTCCACGCACTCTTCTGCCTCTCCCCTCTCATCTCACTCTACTCCCCTCCACGCACTCTCCTGCTTCTCCCCTCTCATCTCACTCTACTCCCCTCCACTTACTCTCCTGCTTCTCCCTTCTCATCTCACTCTACTCCCCTCCACGCACTCTCCTGCCTCTCCCCTCTCATCTCACTCTACTCCCTTCCACACACTCTCCTGCCTCTCCCCTCTCATCTCACTCTACTCCCCTCCACGCACTCCCCTGCCTCTCCCCTCTCATCTCACTCTACTCCCCTCCACGCACTCTCCTGCCTCTCCCCTCTCATCTCACTTTATTCCCCTCCACGCACTCTCCTGCGTCTCCCCTCTCATCTCATTCTACTCACCTCCACGCACTCTCCTACCTCTCCCCTCTCGTCTCACTCTACTGCTCTCCACACGCTCTCCTACCTCTCCCCTCTCGTCTCACTCGACTGCTTCCGCACACTCTCCGCTCCAGTAGCCAATGCTTTCTTGTTCCAAGCACCCAGTCGACCTTCGCTCGGTGAAAGGTCGCTCTCATCCTCCAGCTCGTATGTAGCAGCTAACTGGA